TGTCAACGGATGGACAATCTGACTCCTCCTCATCTTGTCTTGAAGATCGCTTCCATATCGCCGGAGCTGATGGATTCCACCTTCGGCACAATCTGATGGCGGGTGCCGCAGGGAGCGCCTTGGCCTTGGCATTCGGCTTCGCTGGAGCTGCCTTCGCTTCGGATTTGGCTTTAGCCTTTGCCTTTGGTTCCGGAGCTGGGGTAGCTGCTGCCTCATGCTTGAAAGGACAATTCTCTCTTGAGCACGAGCCTGTGTTCTTGAACGAGTAGCATATCCTGTTTCCTCCTCCTCCAGATGGACTTGGAGTTCTCGTCCTCGGCGTAAAGGGTCGCTCTGGAGTCTTCTTCGAGTGACTGAATGGGCACTTGTCACCATTTCGACACCCTGCATCTGTGAAATGGAACTTGCAGCGGATTTGCTTCTTGCTCTTGTCACCTCTGTTGTCCGCTGACTCACTCCTCGTCTTCTTCTTGGGTTTTGGCTTGGTTTTCGCATGACTCTTCGCTTTGCTTTGAGGTAGTACAGGTGTTGCTTTATCCGGCTTGGTCGGCGAAGCCTTGACCTTTGCGGATGGAGCTGCGTTAGGCGTTGGTTTCTCAGGTACCTTGGCCGGTGCAGCAAGCAAATCCTTGCCCTCAAGCATCTGGCGCAAGCCAATTTGGGTCTGAGTGAGATTTGATTGTTCTCGTCTCCGCATGATGGTACGGTCAATGATCTTCATCAGATTGTCGTACGATCGGTCTTCATGATTGTAGGGCAAGTGTTCGTAGTGCATGCCCAACTCCATCTTCATTGCGGGCGAGTCCTTGATCTTGCTGTACAAGCAATCACGGAGAGCTGTTTTGGATGGTATGTCTTCTGGCCTCATCCGTCCCAGAACTTCCAACCACGTCTGCTTGAACGTATGAAGCTTGTTGTCGCCTTGGTACTGGAGCTTCACCAGATACTCGAGAGTGATGATCATGTCGAGACGATCATGCGTTCGAAAGCTTTCATACATCATCGCAATGATTTGTCGTCCTTTGATGATCTTCCCTTCGGGCCTGCTGATGTAATCGTTGGCCTTCCGGTTCACCTCCAGGTACAGGTCAGCAGATTTGTCACCACCAGCACGTAGCATTGCGACCATTGCGATCCCCAATTTGACGTCTACGCTCTTAAACTTCTTGTGTCCTGAATCGTTCAGTGCTTCGACATCAGGGAATGGGTTGAATGCTGGTGCCAGCCACAACATCCAGTCCTCATGATTTGGATCGGCTGATGCTCCTAAGACATTCGCCGTGCATACGGATCGCCAGTTGTTGAGGTGAGTGAGAGTAGGCCATGGAGGTACGGTCACTTTGTCGGCCTCCCTCCTGGAAATTCTCACTTCCGTGACTTCAGGATCTGCGTCTCCATCAGGATCACGCGCATGAGATCCAGGATCCGATTCAGGTTTGCCTCCACCGCTTTTCTTCTTATCATCATCATCATCAGGCGGGTCAGGAGGGTCATACCCCGTGCCGGTTCCTTCATCGTGCTCTCCATCTTCGTTCTCGTCGCCAGCCTCGTCACCGTCATCGTCTCCATTATCCTCCTGAATCGTTTCAGCGAATAATCTCCACTCATCACGATCAGCTCTGAGACGTTGTTCGGCTTTCTGGGCCTTGAGTACTTCGCTTCGCAGATCGGCAATCTTCTCCTCGTACCGTTCCGCGACCTCTTTCTCGATCTGACGTCTCCTTGCTTCATGAATGGAATCGTCATAGGCAATAGGGGGACCGATGAGGTCGTTGCCCTTCGTAGATGCGGTGATACCGTCGACACCAACAGGTCTTGAGGAGCTGGCAGATGCTGTGGACTTCGATCCCAACATCCCGCGATCCTCCAAGAGTTCGCGTAGCTGTCGATCACGCACGGCTGCCGCATCACTTTTCCCATGAAATCCGCTTGGTATGCCGAACAAAGTGGCTGCACTAGGCGTGGAACGCGCAAGTGCTGGGCTGCTAATACCTGGCACGTAGTGCTCGGGCATTGCATCCGCCACGATTGGCATTGAATTGCGGCCAGTGAAGAAGTTTCCACCGGTGAATGGAATTCCATCCATCACAAGGTTCTTGTCCTTGTCCGATTCCGAGAATGCGAACTTCTCTTTGGCGACTGGACTAACTTGACTTGGGGACCGTATTTCAGGGGATCGTACCTCACCTCCTACGGAAAATGCAGGCACTACTTCCTTTCCTACGTGCTCCCAGCCAGACTCAGTAGTCCTCGAAGACATGGGCATGCTTGAAGGCCGTGTCGCTCCTCCATAGTTGGAGTTTCGCGCTGCCTCCAATTCGCTGCGTGTCCTCGCTTGAAGATCTTCTTGTGCTTTGAGCGTTTTCCTGAGTTCACTCAGCTCGTCGTGCAAGGTAGGCAATGATCGCCTTGCATGATCTTCATTCTGATGAAGTCGGTCCTCTGCATCTTGCATCCTCTTCACAGCCATTTTGCGGTACTCTTCCTCTTCACCAAGACGTTCGCGAAGCCGAAATCGTTCTTGATCAATGGCTGCGCTGTTTCCAGCTAGCCCTTGGATCTCGTTCACGGCCCGCAACTCCTGGTTCTTGACCAAGTGGAATCGTTCCTGCATTGCTTGTAATGCTTGTTCTGAACTTGCTGTGTTCGACCGGAGGACCAAGTTCTCTCTGGCATGTTCATGAAGTTCATGAGTCAGACGCTCATACTCACGTGCCATAAGCTCACCATCGCCTTGCGCTCTTGCCTCCAACTGCACAAAGTTAGTGGCTGCCTCCGTGCGGAACACGTGTAGCTGTTGAGCTAACTCCTCGGCAACGGCATGTGCTTGACGTTGTTGAGCAGAGTTCTGTTCATCCATGCGAAACAAAGCTGTTTCATAGTCTCGCTTCATCTCCTGATTGACATTGTTGATGTGCCTCATGGCTAAGCATGCATGGTCACGTTGTCGTTCCAATTCTTCAATGCGAATTCCAGATCCTTCATCTTCTTGTTGCATCTCCTTGATCTTGTCCATCAGGGTCTGAACAACTCCTTCGTATTCTTGCATCTGACTGCGATAGTACATCTGCTGCGCAAGGTTAGATGCTTCGAGCTGTTGCGAAATCGTCAGTTCCTGATAGGCATTCGGACCATCGGCTATGGCTGGCGTGGTCACCGATGACGCATCGCCACGTGCTGGGATAGTGTCCAGAGTCATATCCAGATCGTCAGCATCACGTGGTTGATTGGTAACCATCCGATTCCAAGTCATGGATTTGTCACGCCCACGAGTAGCCGAAGTCCTCGATCGTGCTGAAGAGCTTCTCGAAGATGATGGTCTTGACTTCTTTTCCAAGGTCTTCACTCCTTTGTCCTTGGCCCTGGACGTAGTCCGAGGTGCCTGAAAACCAGACGCTTCGGCTCGTCGTTCGGGAGCCTTGCCCGTCCTCGAACCTGTGGATGTCGGACGCGAAGGCGTAGATGCTCTTGGTAGACTCTTTGCTTTCACCTTGGGAACTGCCTTTGCAATGGCAAGCGCAGAAGATTGACCTTTGTCATCTTCCGTGGAGCTATCAACGGATTGCACCACTGTGTCATCAGCTGTTGATTCACCAACGGCTGGCGCTGCCACATCGGCACCGAAAGTCATTGTCGTATCTTGGCTTGATCCCGAGTTCATTGTGGTCGTAGTAGATCAAGTAGTCGTTGCTGTAGAAAGGCAGAGCCGCGTACGGCTGATAACCTGCGTGGGGGATTGATCTCGACTAGGTTGCTGCTCTCCCCACCAGAGCTGTAATGAATGTAGGTGTGGCTGGCTTGCACTCTCCACAGACTGGACCCTGTCTCTCTTACACTTCCACACGTGCAATCCTATGCAGGCAGAACCGGCGGCCGTTCCTTTTGCACTCACTGCCGGCGGCGGTTCGTCTGTGCAACGGGATAGCTCTGATTGCTCAGGATAGAAGACACTTATAGCACTTAGCTATGGGCATTGACTTGAGCCAAACGTTGCGTGGGCGGTCACATAGAAAGGTAAAGATGAGGGACGCGTAGCGTGCCCCCTTAGAGTCGAGGGACGCGTAGCGTGCCCCCTTCTCTTGCACTTTACACGGTCTTGCTCACAGCTCTTATAGTGACACCTTAGAACTTGACAAGGCATCGCAGTCCGTTCGCACATTCAGCTACTTGTTACATATACATTTGTGCGCAAGTATATGTATATATATATATATATACATGTGTGTGCGTATGCGTATGTGTGTGTGCGTGTGTATGTGTGTGTGTGTATGTGTCGATATGCAAGTAATATATACATATATATATATATATATATATACATTTCTGTTGACCGTACTGGTGATCATCGCGCTCCACTGTTTTTCCTCTTTCACGCGAGCGAATGGCAGAGTCCAGTGTTTCACTAGTAAGCCTCTGGAACACAGAGGGTAATGCATTGGTAAAACCGGGGAACACCCGGGTCCCACACAGAAACGTTAGCCGAGATTCGGTACAATTGTCTGTACGAATCTGACCCAACCGTTCCCGCAACGGACGTATGTCACACATACTGCCCCTGTACCTTAAAAGAGGAGAACGGTACAAACCTAGGTTACAGACGACTCCACCGGAGGTCGGCAACCCAGGGCGGGCGGGTGGGAGAAAAAGGAAGTACCAGCTTGCCAGGTTTGGCTCTAGCTGAAGCTTAAGCCAAAATTTGCAATCAGGTACAAGGTTCCTCAGAAATGATACATGCACACCCAAGCCTGCCAAACTCAATGCATGGACACATTTCTGTTGACCGTACTGGTGATCATCGCGCTCCACTGTTTTTCCTCTTTCACGCGAGCGAATGGCAGAGTCCAGTGTTTCACTAGTAAGCCTCTGGAACACAGAGGGTAATGCATTGGTAAAACCGGGGAACACCCGGGTCCCACACAGAAACGTTAGCCGAGATTCGGTACAATTGTCTGTACGAATCTGACCCAACCGTTCCCAAAGCACTCTCCCAATGCACTACACTAGAGAAACTCCAGGACTACCACTACCGCCTCCAGCGGCAGCGCCCACAGCTCATGAGGGAAATGAGCACGAAAGGTGGAAAACAGGTGCGACTGATGCCACACATCATCCGCGCCCTCGCGGCTAATGGAGTCACTCCAGTTGGATTTGGACGGAACCCATTCCCAGTAGGCCCATGTCTTGAAGCAGAAAAGGCAAAGAGGGATCAATTGGGCTAGGCGAGAGAGGTCCGCGTTGTCTGATCGACCACGTATGAGGCTCATGAGAGCCGCGGTGTTGTCGATGTACCATACACCCCTCCTGGATCTGAACTGGCTGGGTCGAGAGACCAGGGCATAGAGGACCATGCTCAATTCTAGTTGCGCAATTTTCTTCTCGCCTGGACCCCAAAGGGGGTACAGGCTAGCTGGCGACTCTGCGACAAACCCTTCGCGCAGCTGACCCTTTAGGTGTTGCCAGACGATCAGGAATCCGCCTGATCCACAAAGAGGTGCTTCTTCGGCTGCGTCACTCGCAGCTATGAAGCGTTGGATCCGCGGCCGCATGATCCAGAATTGGCGCTGAGGGCGGAGCCGGAGAATTGCCGAAATCAGGCGAAAGCATGCACGGATCTCTTCCGTGAGCCCAACCTCGCGTGAGTTTTGGCGTTCTGAGAGGCTGCCAGCCCCCCGCAACCTACCCGGCCATACATCCCTTGCTCCAAGAAGTTCATAAGACCGAACATCTTGGAGGCGAGGCCCGCTCGCAGGGAGCCGGAAGAGGTAGCCTGCTCGATAAGGTCAGCCATCTTGTCGAATAGGCGCTCTCTCGCCCAAAAGGTGACGAAACCTTGGGAAAGGGCCTCGGATAAGTCATGATCCAGCCCCAGGAACGTGCCATGTGCCGACATAGGCTGCCGCTTTTCTGCGGCGAACGGCGTCCCTAACAGAGTGTTGATTGACCCAACAGCCCACTGGCCCGAGCCTTTGGACGATGCCCAATCGAGCAGGTTGAAATCGTCGAAGTAGGAGGAAGCCACTGTAAGGGCAAGCCTCCGAGAGGCTGCTTCGGAGAAACGACTATAGCGGTTGAAAGATGTAACTGCCAGCGGGAGCCCAAATAGGAGCCCGGCATAGATCTGGTAGGCGGGTGCTTGCCATTCGTGGTGCCACCATACCACCAAGCAAGCCAGGGACTCCTCTTCGCTCATTGGGCAATGCCGATAAGCATCAGGCCAGTCTTCCCCCCCAGATTCCAAAGAGTCACTCTCTTTGGCCTCCTCGAGGTCTTCCGGGGGAACTCGAGCCACAATGGCCGGCGCGTGCTGACCCGGGCGCAAGGCACTGCAAAGGACAAGCTTGTTGGAGTCATGGGACGTCTCAGATTGGCCACCCGCGTCCGCGTTGTCAATGATGCGCTGTTTACCAGAGGACTGAGTAATTACGCAGCGTGGGATGAGGCGGTACGGGCGCCCCTTGAGTCGACGCAACAGCGCGGCCTTAGTGAGAGGCGGGGAGCAAAATCCAGCCTCATGATCCTTGGTGGATTGCTGCAACAAGAAAACATCGTCCTTGGACGGTCCGATCCTGGAAAGCATCCGGGCATTGTGGGCCCGCCAGTCACCCATCACCTCGTCAAAGGAGATGCGCGAAGTGGGCAGCTGTGGGAATACGCCGTAACACGGCGCGAAACCCACCGCTGGCATTCCCGCCACCAGGGCAAATGGCAGAGCCGTGTCAGGCCAGGAGAACAGCACAACGAGTAGCGCCACTAGCCCAATGTCCCGAGCACCGAGCAGCCGTCACACGGCGTAGGGAGGGGAAGCGCCGCAGGGCGACATCGACTGGGGCCCACCTGCGCTTGAGCTCACGGACTGCACCGATCGCATGCTGGCGCAGGGATCGCAAGCTTGTTCGATTGGCTGCTGTGAAGTCGGCGGCGAAGCGGAGGTCGGGGTCCAAGATGGGCTCGCGCTCCGTAGGGACTGGTTCGTGAAGGCGCGCAAGAGAATGGCAGAAGTGGTCCACTTCTGATAATCCAAAGGACAGAAGAGGAGGCAAGGCTGCCCTCTGGCTTAGAGCTCCCGCCTGCTGTCCCGCAGCACGCTGGAAGATACGGGCCGACTGGGGAGCCAAAGTAGGCCCGCAGGGCCCTGTCCAATCAGCTCCCGAGTCTCGCAGCCACCTTGTGTACAAATCAAACGGTGGAGCGTTGATCAAGTCTTCAAGGAACGGGAAGGTAACTCCTTCCAACCATTCTGCCGGAAAAAGCTTGCAGACTGCCCCAAAAACATCTTCTTGCCGCAAGTAACAGGAGAAAATTTGGGATGCATCCGCCAACGGAGCCACTGCCAACCCGAGCGCACGGAGTGGACGACCAATCTGGCTACTCCTGCGCTTCTTATGCGGCGGCTTCCGTTGCAATGGCGTGGCTTCCCTGTTCCTGTCCGACAGCTCCTCAAAGACGAGCCCGGCAAGGGCATCACCTTCCGACGGCCAGGCGGTGATCTCATCCACCACCAAGGTCTTCCCAAAGAGTTCTGGGAGCTGGTCTCCCAAGTTGTCCTTGATGTGCTGCACGTAACGAGGCAGGAACTCGTCAAACGAACAGTCGTGGCCCGCCACCATGGGGGCTGCCCATTTGGTGCGTGGCAGGCGGTGTGAATGGTAATGTAGATGGCCCCTGGTGGTAGCAAACCGTCCTCACACTGGATCTCTGCCACTGCCCTGCGTTGTGGGATTCGATTCGTCCTCCTCGGGGTCAAGCCAAGGGAGATAGCCAAAGGTGCCATCACCCAGGCCCGCAGTGCTCGCGGATCGAAGCTAGTCCACGCTTCCCGCCGACCAACACAGCCCGGGACCGGCATCCTTGGGACAGCCAGCTTAGCACGGCCCACTCGGGCAGCCCACCACGAGGCTGACACTGCAATCGCAAACGCAAGCGGGGCTGTGTATTCTGCTTCCTCCTGCGACGGGAACCAGTGCTTGCCATCCACGGACTGAGGGTCCCACTCGCCTTTACCATGGATGTGGTGGCACTGAATCGCCGGCCAGTCTGCGATTTCTTGCAAATTGTGTCGCTGGCGCTTGTAGCGAGCTCCACCCCAACAGCACGCATCATAGTGTTTGTCTTGCCACAAGCCCGACTGGAAAGACTGCACCTCCTGGGGGAGAAGCCAACGCAAGCTGTTGGCTGGATTCTCGCGCACTGACCCGACGCCCTTCTCGGCCGCGTGCTGAATAGCATCGAGGACAAAGGAACATGCTCGGTTGTCTTTGTCCACTCGCTCCTGCTCAGCCTTGCTAAGCCCACCCAGTCCCTCTGGGCATGATGCAGATCGAAGCGGCCTAGGTGCCGGCCTGCCATCCTCAAAGGAGCGCGGGATGTCCCGCGCACGACTCTTGGTGGAGCAGTCGAAAGCTGCCGCTATGAAATCGACCTGCTGGAGCTGTGCCGCCAAGCTTGATTGCCTGAGTGGGTTAGCCAAGTCATGGGACGAATCGAGCTTGAGATCCACCGGCAGGCACTGCCAGCCGCAAAAGAGAAAAGCCTTAGAAAGCGGTGCGTTGGGTCCGGGAAAGAGATCCGCCATAACAGGGATTGATCTGGGCGATGCAGGAGCCTCTGACCCCATGCAGGGAGGGGGTCGCCTCCCCCTCCCCTGGGCACCCTCAGGGCTTGACCTTCTGCTTCCACTACTAAACCATGCTTAGCGGATCCGCAGACTCTCTCGCCCTTGAGAACCACGCCGCATCTATGCAGATCGGGGCATTGCTTGCCTCGCGCGCAACGGCCCTCTTGATAATCCTGGCATAGTCGTTTGCCATCTTTCATCATCTGCGCCACCTTCTTCCCGTTGACGCTCTTGCCCAAGGCGAAGGAAGAAGGCTTGGGGGGGGGGCTGCGGGGCCCCTCCCTGTGGGGGCTTCGCTGGGGAAGCGGACAAAGCCTCGCTTGCGGAGCCCGCTTGCACCGGTATCCAGTGCGCATCGCGCAGGTCGAGCACCTCGCGCACCACGGCACCGAGCGTCTTGGTGGACTCCCTGAACTTGGACACCCAGACTGCCCGCTCTTCGGTGTCTTTGTGCTGAAGCCAGGACAGTTTCTTAGGCCCTTGCACCTGCGAGACCGACCTTTTCGCTCGATGGAAGTACTCCATGAGCACGTCCAAGGGTGCATGCACGAACTGCGTGGTATCGGACCCCACCGTGTTCTCCCCGTTAGCGGGGGGAGAACCCGCCACGGGCTGGACCCCAGCCAGCGCATATGCTGTGAGGAGAATCTGCAAGCGGTCAAGGTAGGACTCGCAGTCGCGAGGGATCACCTCGTCCTGGTCTTGATCCTCGGTGTACAAGTTATCCCTAAGCTTGCGCTTCTTGCTAGTGCTCAGAAGCTGAAACTGGAGACTCTTGACCTTCCAGACGCTGAACACGCACAGCATTCTTTTGTTGAGCTCTCGCGTCACTCGCGAGAGCGTGGCGTCTGATGGATACAGTTCCGGAGGGAACCTGGTTTTGTAACGCCGCCAAAACTGCTGCTTCATGTCGCGCAAGGCACTGTCATCAAGAAGATCATCCAGATCCGCCTCTGAGATCCGGACCCGGCCTGCGTCGGCATGCTGGAAGAAGACCTTAACGGCCGCCCAAGTACGGCGCAGGCGGGCCGTTTGCAGCGGCTGCTGGTCTCCTAAAGACAGCTTCTGGACCCAGAGGCCTATCTCCCCTTCTGATTCGAAGAAGTAGCGAAATTCTTCGAGATTCTTGATCTTCTGCTTGACCAACGCCTCGAGCACATCATCGGAAAACTCAAAATTCAACTGCAATGACTCCATAGTCGCACGAAAGTCTGCACCGTCCCTCGGCACAAGACTAAAGGAAGCCATGGCTGGAGAAACCGACGGTAACTCCGCCTGATCGCTAAGGTCTGTGCTCTCCTCGGGCTGAAAACTGTGCCATATCCTGCCGAGACGGAGGGGAGAGCAAAGAGAAGAGGGGAAAGAGAGTGGGCCGAGGAGAGGAGAGCAGAAGCCGACTTAAGGAAGAGAGAGAAGCACATGTGCACATGAGAGGCTGCAGCAAGCCCTCGGAGAATGCAGACACTCTGCATTCACTGGCACACACCCTCTGTTTCCTTTGTGGCGACGGCCGGGCGGGTCGAACCCCTCCTAATGACAAGCTCTGTGCTTGCCACTGAGCCTCAATTTCTGAGGGCCCCGGCAAGAAGGCCAAGCGCGGAAAGGTTCACGCGCAGAAGTCCGGTCCCTCCGGACGTTGCACCCTCACATGTGATCACCTCACTTTGGGTGGAATACTGCCGATGCTCGCTGCAAGCAGTCACGACAGAAGGCCCGTTGATAGCCTTGAGCTTCTTGGAGGTCTTGAACCTTGGTACAATCCCGGAGGCGTTGACCTGCCTCTTGTCCTTGGCGGTGGCGACATAGCGGTACGCCGTTGCCTAAATCGAGGTGGACCTGAGACCGGTCAGTAAACATATATCCTGTTGGCGTCGGCCAGCGCACTCCAACCACCGCCGTACGGCGGATGTGACGGACCCATTGCGCAATGGTGCCTTGGTCCATCACTTTATAAATTTCATCACTTTATAAATTTGACATTCCCGAAGGCGACCCACTGTGGCCTGAGCCTGTTCAAAGGGGACGTCGGTGAGCAAGGCGAGAAGCAGCGCTTGACCAGTCGCAGCACGGTGCCGTCCCGCAACGCAATGTCCCAAGACGGAGCCTCCACTCACAAGAGTCTGGCGAATGACGGGCCGGCACTCCTTCCATTGCCTGTCCCTGGATCGAGCGTCGGTGATTGCCACCTGCATCTGCAAAGCTCCAGGAATGATCGCACCGCCGCGGGAAGTGAGGGACTCGGTCAGCCAAGAAAGCTGGAGGTCACACCTCGGATAAGCATGCAAGGTCTCGGCCGTGGGCATGCCAGATAGCCACAAGGTCCCTCCCTCGCGACTTTCCCAAAGCTTCGTGGGGGGCTGAATGCGCTTCCCCCCGATGGTGGCAATGCTATCGAAGTGGCGCTCCAGCGCGCGACTCTCAGCTGCATCATCCTGGCGGTCCCTCCGCCCTCCAGTCCGTCCTGAGACTCTTGGTGGGCTCGATGCAGCACGCCTTGGAGGGGGGATCGAAGGCTGCACCGGCCGACTGCGAGGCGGCGTAGCTGGCTCAGGGATGCCCGAACCACGGGCGGACGCGGAAGCAGAAGATCTCGGTTGCGGGTGAGCCGGCTCCTGCGCAACACGCTGCCTCTTCAAAGGAGGGAGATCCGAGGACGAGCTCCCAGAGCCAGCCAAAGCGCCCCGGCTCTTTGGCATGGCCTTGACCTGGATCGTCTTCGCCTTGGGCTTCAAGACCACTGCGCCGGCCTTGGCACGTGTCCCCGTCCTTGGCGGAGATTCGGGAGCCTTCACAAAGCGCTTCACCCGGCAGACCTCGGCGCCGTGGGTTCCGCCGCACACCCTCCCCGACTGCAGAAGAATGGCGCAGCGGTGTCGGCCGCCAGAGCACTCATCGCGCTGATGCCGGCAATGGCCCGCCTGAAAAGCAGCACATAGCTGCACTCCATCCCGTAAGGTAGCCGAGAGCCGCTTGCCCCCAATCTGCCGCGGCATCATGGCGGCAGCTGCCGCAGGCACCGGCACCGCAGCTGGCAGCCGAAACCGTGGCTGGATCTCGCCACAGCGTGTGGTTGTCCTTCTGAACGGCTCTGTCCATACCCAGGGCACCGTCCCGCTCGGCAGCCTCCAAGGCCTCCTGAGTAACCTCATCCCAGGAAGTAAAGCGCACCAAGCCAGCAACAGCGTTGATGAGGCAATGCTTGCGTCGCACTGACGCCGTGTAACGAGTGCTGGCGTACCGAAGGGGCATGGAATTGCCCTCCTGGCGCAGGCGGGTGCCATCCTGCCAGTCCCCCAGCGACAACTGCTGCTGGGGGGACCAGCCAGCCAACGTAGCGAAAGAAGGGCCCACTCTCCGGAAGCTGTACGTGCTGACCTGGGCGGCACCTGCAGCAAGCAAGGGGGTGTACAAATCCTGAGCCAGCTTGACTGTCTGGGGGGTGGAGTAGGGCCGGCCAAACTCATTGAAGTTGATGCCCGCATTCTGACGGGAGAGCACAGGGAGGGCGCGCCAATCCTCCAGTCAGCGGGTCGACCAATCCCACCCAGACATAAAGTAGCTCGAAACCGCGTAATCAAAGCCATTCCTGTTCCCTCTCTGCTTGCACTTGGAGCAGTGGAAGTGGAAGGTGGACCTCGATAGCCGTCTCGGGGAAGACCGAGCCACGTGTGTGAGGCGGAGCACCCCAAAGCAGCACGCACAACCCAAGTACAGCCCGCCACTGAGGGTTGTTGCTGTTGTAGAGCTGCTCAATCCTGGTCTGCAGCTGCTCCAGCATGGGCGGCTCGGCCACTGCCGCGTGCTTCGGTTCCCTATTGGGCTGCCCTCGGAAGTCATAGGCAGAGAGGTCATGCTCCAGCTGGCCGGCCTTCACCAACCATCGCAGCCCAGCCAGTGCACGGGATTGCGCCGCCGTGCCCCCATACAAGAATGCATCCAGATCCACCCCATCCGGCGGAAAGGCGCGCCCACGATCCGTCATGTGAATCTGGAGCTCAGAAAAGGTAAGGAGGGCCCCTCGCACGGTAGCAGCCTCCGCCTCGCGGGCCTTTGCCTCGGCCTTCCGCTGAAGGGCCGCACGCCATTCGCGTTCCAGACCAACTGTCAGATCGCCCCGTGGGCGCATGGAGCCGAGGCAGTAAAGAGCTTCCGTCAAGGCCTCCACGTGGTCATCAGATGGCTTAGCCTCCTCCTTCGGAGCGGCCGGCTGCTTTCTGACCACTCTGCCCTTTGCTGCCACACGCAGCCGGAACGAAGAAGGCCGTCGCACGGCCGGCTTCGGGTCGGGGCTCGCCGATTCCAAGGCAGAAGCGACAGCCCCATAGAGCCCCGAAGACGAAGTGGCCCGTACCGCGGCCCACTCTTCGGAAACCAAGGTCCCAGCCTGAGCCATAGCCTCCTCGTAGCTCTGGAAGCTGAAGGCAAAGTCGCTATCGCTGAGGAGCCCGTGCTGCTCCCGCCACTGCCCGGCACGCTGCCGAGACATCTCCCCCATGGCCGTGTATGCGCTCTCTGGCGCCGAGGCCGCTGAAAGCGACTCGGTCGCATAGACGCCCAGGTTCCCGGGCATGATTACCAAGGCGAGCCCCACGGCCCAAATCTGGAGCCCAAATCTAAAGGAGGAACCGGAACACCTTGAATCACAGCGTTCCGAAGCAAGAAACCTGCATCTGTCACGGGGCCCCCCAGTCCTGAAGGAAGAGTCGACCTCGCAAAGCGAGCCACGACGAGGAGGTAGCCGACACCATGACCTGGCAGCCGAAATGAGCTCATAATGCAAGGGTAACGCCTGCTGCTCAAACTCAGTCTGCTTATAATGGTCACCAGGGAGCGGCCAGCACTCGCCCCCAAGGTTGGGCGTACCTCGCCCAACCCTCGGGGTCGCACCTGAGGCCTGTCCCTCAGGCCCGGCGTCTGGCATACCCCAACGACGGCTGTCCCGCGGCCAAGAAGAAGGAGCTGCCACCTGGCCGGGAGCCACGAGACGACAGCCAAGCGTCACACGCCCAGCCGCCGACTCCCCTGCCCAACACCCTTCAACTGGAAGAAAAAGACCCCGACACCACGTGCCCGGCGGCTGCCCCACCAATCCTGGCCGAGAGACGGCGGCACTGCCTGCACTGAGTAGTCTGCCACCGTGTGCGTCGAGGCAAGGGGTTACCACAGTGCAAGCACATAACCCGAAGGCAGCCCGGGTCGTGTTCCGGGTTGCCTGCGTGAAACAACCAGAAGATAAGTGCGCGGCGATGACGGACATCGGGGTCCAAGAGAGCCTCCATTGCGCTGGGTACCTCACCTGTCTGAACCGAAGGGTCGCGCCAGACCCGCTGGCCTCTTTGCCACTGCCTCCAAGTGTCCAAAACTGAGGACGGGGAAGCCCCCGGCAGATCATGCAGTGTGTTAATTTCCGCCATGTAAAGAACCCGTGCCATCGTGGCAGTGAGCATGTCACGCATGGTGATGACCGAACCATGCAGCGTGAGTTCTTCATCAGTGAACATGACATCGCACTCATAGAACCTGGTGCGAGCATCGTCGGGGTGCCAGCCATCCGGAACCACAGTAGCCCTGACAGCCCACGGTCCCAACCAAGGGAACTGGAACCCGCCGCGGGCCTCATCACACCTTGGGCATGGGGAAGCGACACAAGCGATGCGGCGAAGGGGCACGAACCTGCCGTCGATCCTGAGACTTGGGACAATGTCCGAGGGAGCAGGGAAGTGCACGACTTCACAGACCTGGTTCCAAACGTGCCAAAATGCCTCGGAGTCATTGTTCCTGCTGAACTCCCCCATATACCTGACAAAGGCCGACATGTTCTCAGCATGCAGGACCCTTGACTCGGTAAAAGTGATGCGACCGACACGGGTAGCCACATCCATACCTATGGAGTCACTCTCCACAGAAAAAGGAAGTACCAGCTTGCCAGGTTTGGCTCTAGCTGAAGCTTAAGCCAAAAATTGCAATCAGGTACAAGGTTCCTCAGAAATGATACATGCACACCCAAGCCTGCCAAACTCAATGCATGGACATACATATATGTATATCACAGTCTACAGATACGCTTCTGATGCTTCTGCTCTACAGGCATGCGCTGCGAAGCTTGGTTGCTTGCTTCCTTCCTCGATTCCTTCCTTGCTTCCTTCTTTGCCTGCTAACTTCTTTGCTTGCTTGCTTGCTTGCTTGCTTGCCTTTGCTTCCTTTCTTCCTTGCTTCCATTCTTGCTTGCTTACTTGCTTGCCTTTGCTTCCTTCCTTCCTTGCTTGCTCGCTTCCTCGGTTCCTCGCTTCCGTGCTTGCTTCCTCGGTTCCTCGCTTCCTTGCCTGCTTGCTTGCTTGCTTGCTTGCCTTTGCTTCCTTCCTTACTTGCTTCCTTGCTTGCCTTTGCTTCCTTCCTTTCTTCCTTGCTTCCTTTCTTGCTTGCTTGCCTTTGCTTCCTTCCTTGCTCTCTTGCTGGCTTGCTTGCTTGCTTCCTGCCTTCTTGCCTTCCTTGCTTGCTTGCTTGGGCAGGCGACCGGAAAAAAATACAAAAAAAAACTGGAAAAATACAGAAAAAATACCGCCACCCTTACTCTGAAGTTCTCTACATCCCACGGTCCTTGTCTGTGAATGCTTGTAGGAAAGCTGGGCCCAACATCTTCGCTGATGCTACTGTCCCTTTTCCGCATCACGTGATATACAGGCACCCTTCCTGACGGTGACATACACACGTGAGGAGAATGAGACTTGGCGGATATTGGAGGCTGACATTGGAGGCCTTCCATTCATGTGGCCAGAAGCCTTCCACAAGCACTACGCCTCGAGTAAATTGCCAACCTGTGCTACTACACGTGTATCATGTGGAAAGCCTCCAGTTGTCCTTGACTTTCCCAGACCTTGGAGAGCTGCCGACTGCTGCGCTGCTCTCCCACGCTCCCACAAACTTCTGAGGAAGCAGGTGCTTCTTCTCAGTGAGAGCTCGATCGCACAGTCACGAAGCTCAGTGTACAAAATGCGAACATCAAATCCTAGTGTTGAAGTTACACGTCTAGGTGTCGTCAGCACGCTTCCGTTACCATTTGGTTATTGTATGCAAGAGCGAGGACTCTGCACAACATGTCGGCTACAACAAAACACGCAGAACAAGCCTGCTCGCATAGTAGGATAGCCAAGCTGTTGTGAGTGTGCAGACAAAATGCAAAAACTTCTGATCAGGATCCTGAAATTTGACAAGTAATAACACGGCAGTGCCGAGATCATGATCCTGATGAGGCTGGTGCGAGAATTTGTTGCAACAATTTCCGAGTCCCTGTCAAATTGAACATAACGTTGGCACTCTTCCCTAGTCCAGCCTCTGACACGTACAAAACTTTGACACCGCCGTACGATGACAACGCTGCGCCAGACATTATTGGAAGCTATGCTTCTGTCTGAAGCCGGGCTGAGCGAGCATTGTTGGAAGCGGCCAGAAGCTTTCCACAAGCACTACTCCTGTGTATCATGTGGAAAGCCTCCAGTTGTCCTTGACTTTCCCAGACCTTCGAGAGCTGCAAATCCCTGCCCTGCTGTTGCAAACAGCTTGCACGACTGCTGCGCTGCTCTCCCATGCTCCCACAAACTTCTGGGGAAGCAGGTGCTTCTGCTCGGTGAAACTGTGAAACTTCTTTTTGTAAAGCTGCGGCAAAGCTGGCTCCTGATATTCAGCCGTAGCAACGACGGCGTTGCGAATGTGTCCACACATGTCGACGTTGTAAAGATGCGATGCATCAAACATCTCCCATGCACTTACGGCTGAAGCGGTATCCAGCTCCTTTGGCATCTGTACAGTGTTCCTGTCATTGCAGGACTCAACCCTCCGTGTCAGTGGATGATAGCACATATGCTTTCGTGCACATGTGTGTGTCTCACCCCTTTGCAAACGCAATCAGTCTGTGCATGTCACACGTATCGACCCAACTCTCTCTGACCCTTAGGAACAGCACGAGTGTGTCGGCATGATGAGTGCGACGTCACGACTATGTCACAAGGAGGCACTGACTGAGATGCGCATTGAGAAGCCGGCTCACCTTTGAGCACAGTTGGCAATTGGAAGCTCCCGAGAGCTCTTTTCTATCACTAGGATCTGCACGGTAGAAACCATCCAGTTGCCTGCAAGTTGCAGGTGCAAGCCACTGCTGGAGACGTCGAGGGAAGGGCCCGAGGATTTCCGGAGAGTGGCCCCAGTATGCACGGGAACATGCGGGGCTTATACCTGCCCTCGTGAGCTCAGCAGCTCAAATGGCAGTCTTGGCAAGAACAGTGACACTACTGTGACAAAGCCCTGCAAATCGGCCTAGTCCAAAGCTATTTCTCAACCGTTGCAACCAGTGCCATGAGATTCGAATTGAAGCACCCTCTTAAGCTGCACTTGTGAAGCTCGCCGTTCTGCCATCGCCAAAGACATCAGAACATCGGAGAACAATTCTGTCAGCCTGTTAATTGGAAAGCCGGAGAAGTCGAAGCCTTAGCCTGTGATTACATCGCTTGAGGCTTTCAGCAGGCAGTCTGCACTCCGAGGGACTGAGGCACTGCTCTGGACAGGCACTGTTGAGGGGCTCAAGGCCTCCACGGTGACAAAAACGCAACAGGGAAGAACTGATCGGAGCCCCATGTCCGTTCAAGACTAGAGTCGAAAGATCACCATGCCAGCTTCCACATGCACGCATTTACGCAGGTCTTCAGAAATGAGCTGCAGAAAGTCTGCTTGAGTTCGCTCCAGAGGTGGCGTGGGCTCAGGAAGAGCCAGAGGAAATGACACGTCCTTCGAACTTGAAGAGCAGGACGCGGTTTCCGCTGTCCTGTCGGCTCTGTCTGCCTCGCCATGAGGTAGTGGTGCGGAAGCCAGGAAGGTCTGGACTGCTTGCTCCCATGTGATCTCCCTGCCCGACTCGAAGACCAAAGGCTTAGGGAACGAAACTGGTGTGGCCCGGGAGCAGAAGGCTGCAATATTCTCATTCAGTCCTTGATGCTTTGCCTGCTGCAAATCAACAATCCAGACATCGTGAGAACCAACGAGGGCACGCATGACTCGAAGGCAGCTCTGGCAGGCTTCAGGTGAAGTGAAGTTCACCACTGCCAGCCTGTGTTTACATTGGGCAGGAATGTGTAGCTACTCTGGTTTTTGTTGTCCCCTCAAGGCTGCTATTTCTTGATAGCGCGTCTGGAGGACATGAGTGTGTGTTGTATTTCAGCTGATCTGACGAACTACAGCATCACCTGGCTACCTCAGTACCTGAGTTTGGAGGAACCACTTATAAACTGCCGAAATTAAATGGCTATCCGGTGAGTGTGTCATGGCCGAGGCACTTCTTCCATGGCAAGTGCACGAAATCGTAAGCAGGCGTCTGGTTCTCAGGGGGCTGCCAATAGAGGTTAAGCACTTCGAGGAAGTCCTGCTGCTTGCTGATGGCACACCACACAACCAGCACAACTTTCCCAACAAATGCCAGGCAAGCAATCAAAAACTCCCTTCTAGTGATTGTTGTTTGATCTTAAAACAAATCGATAAAGCATGATCCGATAGCATTTAACTGTAAGCGAGAAGTGTGGAAAGCGAACACCCTCCTTCTGCGTCAGCTTCTTGGAAAGCTTGAAAATGAGGGTGGTTGCATTCTCCTCCAGTTCGTCGTCCATGGCCCCGGCTGCTGGCGATATAGGATAAGCTAGAAAAAGCCAGTGGAATGTATGAGCTTCAAGCTACATCGGACCGCTAGACAGCCTATGTTGAGCACGAAGCTGCGCAAGTGCAACATCGTCTCAGAATAGACCGAAGGCTTAACTCTTCGAAGTGGCCAAAAGCGGGTTGTGCCGGGCCCAGGACTGCGTATTCATCGTATGGAAACAGGTGGGCCACACGTCGTCCTGACGGGCTCGGCTGGGTTCTTAAAGCCTTCGCCCTCACGTGAAGGCAGCCTCGTGGGAGGGGCCGTTGAAATGGAGCAGACCGGGTGTAGTGTTGGTCAGCACGTTCTTTGGTGTCCTAAGGCGCAGAATCCGGAAGCCCGTGAAGCCGCTTGATTGGCGATTGGGTCGATGGCCCCCTTGCTCCAGGACCTCGAAACCTTGTGAGCTCAGCTGCTCACTACCACGATGCATTTCCAAGCATCTCCTCTTCGCTTGACTTTCTCAACACTGAGTCGATAACCATCCGTGGCCACAGGGTTCTCGCTCAAGTTCTCCAGCTTTGTATTGCAGCATGCTCATGAAGACCTGAAACAGAGCTCAAAGATGGCCGCAAGGAGCGGGACTTCACACAAGTACCCGAGGCAGTTCCCCACGGCCTCAGCATGTTGGTCAATCTGAATGTTCAGCTCTAGTGCATGTCGCATGATGACCAGCCACATTGCGCCTGGCAGGACCAACAGCTTCAATCCCGCCATGCGGAACTGGTCTGCAACATGCAAAGCCACAGCCGGGACACAAGGAGGACTTGTGGTTCAACGCGGCATGTGTGCGCCGCGAACCCCAGCATGTCCAGCAGAAACAACGCCTTGATCATTTACATCTTCTTCCAGCACGATCTTGTTATTCCTTGCAGAGGAGCACGTCTCCAAAGTGACTTTGGCGGATGGGTCGTCGAGCTGGGGCAGCATTTAGCTCTGGCGGTGGTGTGGAAGCCCAGTCCTGCGCAGCACCTCGATCACTCTCGACACAGGTCCCATGGAAAGGCCAATGTTTGGAAACCTCAGACAGCGGCGCTGCGGCCTTTCTATAGGTGGAAAATGCCAGTCCAAGAATTGATCCATTTGACCTCCATGCATTCAGGCACCGACGGGTAAGGGCCGTCAGCCCTGATCATCCGACAGAAGTCCTGTGGCGCGAACCTGAGGTATCACACAGGTGGAGTGAATCGCGCGGACTGGTCCAGTGACCGTGAGAGGTTCTGTTCGCTGGTGGTCAAAGTGTGCGGCTTGATCCAGCGGTTGACGGTCCACGAGACGTTTCCGAAGCTGGCCTGCATCCGCGGGGTGCGCCGCTGCCACTTCGTGAGTTCAACGCTGCACGTTACTATGGCTTCTATTTGCAGCAAGGCACAGCGCCCAAGACAGCGAAGTATAGCGAACTACTTTCAGGCATCAGTGACCACTGATCACAGCAACTGCAGCAGAAGCGTTTCATGTCATCTGAAACTCCCGTCACCGGTTAACACCAGCTGAGCAGCCCGATCTGTCAAATCCCAAGCTCCATGAGATGGATCTGTGTGCGGCCTCATTGTCTCGCGCACTGAAACTTACACATTTCAGCTTGTGGTTCATATGCTTGTAGTAATTAAGAGTAAGAATAGTGTACCCGTTGCAGCATCCACGTTTTCTCGGTGCCTAGAACTCGAGTGGAAGGGTACTAAGAAGTCTGAAGCCACATGTCGTGGACTTGGAGCGCGCAAACAACGAAAAGTCGATGCACTCTCCCAGAAAAAGTACGTAGCAACGACAGGCAGGGCACAAACAAGTCGCAGAAACTCGTGCCTTCTAGCCCTCCTAGCCCTGGACAACATCTGAGCAAAACATTAAACGGTGAAAACTTCCGTGCGTTCAGCAAGAAGTCTCAAGTGTCATTCTGGAGTTCGATCCCTTGAAGCTTAGATTGCAGCCAGGGCCAGCAGTTCCGCTCGCCGGAGATGAGATACGGCCTGTGCTTCCCGCTTGCGAAGGTGCTTTGTCAGCAAATCTCACACCTTCACCAACCCGACGCTTCGCGGCTCTGGTTAAGGACTCCGAAGCCTTAGCTTCTCGCGCGGTGTGCTCGGTCCTTGCCACACGGTTCTAACGCCCTGTGAGCTGCCATGGCCTCCCTTGCTGTCTGACAGATCTGCGGTGGACTCATTGAGGATGCTGTGCAGTGCGTGTGGTCCGTGTTCCTTTGGCCGGCCCCGGATGACTTCCCGTCTTTGGTCCTGGCTTATTTCGCGCTTTTTTGGGCTACTTGGTTTCCTAAACATCATGCTTATCGTTTCTGAATACGTGTCGCCGAATACTCCAGGTTATCTTACACTCCTGATGTTGTGTATGTCATTGGCCACGTGGGCCTGCAAGGAGCCGGGTGAGTTGGGCACACGCGATGTGGTGACTAGCCTGTGGAATCAGCTCTGTGGGAATACCCATGGCGGCTGTGGTGCTGACTTTTCCTTGAAGTACATTCACGATCACCTTCGTTGTCCTGACCCGTGCATGGCAAAATGACACTGCGCATGCAACATGTTGCAGTGAGCCGATGGGGAGCTGTCTGCAAGCCCCTTCTGTAGCGACTGCTGTGCCGACAATGCAGGAGGTGCCAGAATTGCTAGGTTTCTCGAGTCAAGGCTAGGCAATTTCTCCGATTTTGGATATCACTTCAGTGGGAGGGGATTCCGCGTCGCCATTGAACCCTCTGCTCTTCAGCTAAGTCGGATAAATATTTGGTGTAAGCTGCTCTGGCTCGGTCGGAGCTTGCTGCGCTTCCAATTCCTTTACAGCCCAGTGCACCATGTACAGCCGCCGAGATCGCTAGCTGACATTCCATCACCGCTCACGCTTGCTGAGGGCGTAGCGAACCCGGCCAGCGGCTGTAGGCCGCCACGATGTCAGCCAGTGGCTGCTGGCCATCAACTTTTCTCTCAGGATTCTGGGAGTTTGGCATAGCTGCCCAGGTTGACAGGGGCACCTTGCCCTCCAGGCCTGTAGCAACACGTCATGGCCGTCTGCGAAGATAACCTCAAAAGAGCTGCTTTCACGGGCATCTGCAGTGCAGCGTCATCTCGTGCACAGACTACACTCAGGAAGAGGTTGGAGGTTGCACTGCTACAAAAACGGGCCCTTCAGTGAAGCGAAAACCGCCCTTCTGCTCTTCACGCTGGTGACAGCATCGATCGATCCGAGGGACGAGGTCATCGGAGGCAATGCGCCTCTTGCTGACCTCGTACTCCAAAACCTGGACAGGTCTGCAAAGTTCGACAAGCACCCAGAGAAGCGAGCCGACGATGTGCATGTGACGTACAAGTACGCATCAACGTGCCGAGTGCGGCATCAAGATTCCCAATATCCAACTTCGCCTCCTGCAGCATGAGGAACCTTCGTTTACGAAGGCATGCGAACCAACGAAAGCTGTGCGACGCTTCCCCTGTGTTGTCCTAGTGAAAGCTGTCATTAGCAATGGTCACGTATGCCACCAGGCATACAATGGTTCATGTTTGCCGGGGCACTTCAAAGTGGGGGAGTGGCTGTGGATCAAGATGTATCCAGGCCTGCAGTCCGCTGTCGCTCTTTAAGCAAGCAGGTGCCACATCCAAACCGCATACGGCTGCGCCATGTAGTGATGCATCTGGCCTCTTGCTGAGGCCCATGACGCGGAGGACCCCGCCCAGCTCGGAAGCTGCCTTGAGAGCACAGGCAAGTTCGCTCCTGTCCGACGAAAACCGCAAGCCGGGCCGTTGCAAGCCGGGCTACTTCTACCATCTGCTTCTGAGCCCCGTGCTTCCGCCAAGACGCACAGGCCGGGATGTGGGATCTCAGTCCACCGGTTCAGGGGGTTCGGAACTTGTGCCAGAAGTTGCGACTCGCACGCTGCAGGGAGCAAGCTACTGGTGGCGATGCCCCTTGACATGGAAGACCCATCTGTTGCTGCTTTCAAACATAGCCAGATTGACGGCGTCTCCGATCAACAAGCAGAGCCCCAGTCCGTATCCGAAAAGGTGTAGAAGTGCACTTGGCCTCAGATGTCAAAGACCAAAGCCAGAAACTCTTGGCTGCCTCAATCCTTGGGAACAACAACATCGAGGGCGTGCTAGGTGGGCAGCGGAGCGCCCGTCCAGATTGGAAGAACACCTAGGCTCAATTCAAGCCGCAGTATCGACATTGACATCGAAAATGGCAAGACGGGCTCTGGCGGATGTCAACTTGTCAAAACTGGAAGATAATATTCAGCTAAGTGGCCGGGAGGCATGCCACGAGCCATCGCCACATTGACATCTCTTTTCCAGTTCCATTTCCAACACCTGCCTTCGGCCGGAGACACGAAAGCACTTCGCGCTTGCATGCTAGTGGCGAGCGTGGTTTGTTGTAAGAATATGCCAGAATGCTTGCTGAACCCTGCAATGCCTAAGTTCATCTCGATGATGGAATCAGGCAGTGCGCTGAACCTACCTTCCCGTGACCCGTCCCACTCGACCTGCTCAAAGCAGCGCCAATAAACAAACCATGGCGCGACGCTGTCAAGCTGCTGGGCTCTTGCACGGAATGGGATTACGGTTCTTCTGACAGGTGCATCCACACCCTCGTGGCTCGCCCATGCTTGTAGATTGCAGCATTGTGGTGCAAGCTGTGCAGTTGAATATGAGGCTTGAAGTCTGCTGGTTTGAGAGTCTGGAGCTGAAAGCAGCTCGTGGGGCTGCCGACCCGTGCTGTTGAAACCCATTGCTGGAAGTGGACAGCGTCCCCTTCATGGCAGGGCAGGAGCAACGTGGTGTCTTTCTTTTCTGCTGCATTTTGCGAAACGGCTCCGGCTCACTGCCTGCTCAAAGACCATGCAGAAATCCGAAAACACATCCTAGATTCCAGGCAAAAATGACTTGCCGCACAAAGGCAGCTGATGTGACTGACACGGACCCAGGTTCGCTTGGTTTACAAACAGCCTCTGCCCGAAGATGGCAGAGTCGCGCGGTGCAGACACCTCCCCCAAGCGGATGGACAAACCTTCGACCTTCGTGTGCAAGAGCTTCACGTGTTGTTTCGTCCGCAGAACGAGGGTTGAACTCCGGACAGCATTGAGGTGTGGACTGCCTGCTGCATTGTCGTAAGCCCACGTGATGTGCTCCTGAGTTGAGTGCGTGAGTGCCGTTCAGCAGCGTCCAGTGCTATCCGTGCATCCCAGCATCTGCTCCGCAGCAGTCTGGCGGTCGGCGACCCGACGCACCTCAGGGGCAAATAAGGGGCACCCGACTTTCTCTAAGGGTGCAAGAGGTTGTAAGAAAAGCACTCTCATGAATTTCAAGAGGGCGCTTTCTCAAACTTTGCAAAGAAATCGCTGACCGCTCACATCAGGCTAGCGCTTCTTCTGCCAGTCCTTCACACCGTGACCAGAGCGTCTTCAATTGAGCCTCGGATGCCAGTGATGAAAGTGTGTCGATGTACGGCGCAGCGGCAGTCATGAAGGGTTTTCAGAAGTCATGGCTTTCTCTTTATGGCCCGTGCACTTTAACCACTTGGGCCTCCGCTGCCCAATCTGCGCCTTCTGTGGGCAGGTGTTGCTGTGCCTGCCGAAGCTCTGGGTCTGGGTCTGCCGTCAGCTCGTGGATAAGTGCCCCATATCTCATCCTAGCCCCAAGTCCCCGTACCTCTGACACCAGAAAGCTCGAAGCAGTGATGGGTTCGCCTGGTCAAACGCAATTCTCACGCCTACCTCCGACTGCAGAACCTTTCGTTGCTCGGTATCAAATTTCCTAAACAGCATCTCATGCTCTGCCATATTCTGCCATACTCCTTCACCATTCAGTCCTTGATAACTTGTCAGCGCTGTGCTCCGGGCCCTCTGCCCGTGGTTGCATGTGGCTGCGGCCTCGATGCCGACCGTGCAAAACACTGCAAGCTTTTCCGAGCCGGAGGTCTCAGTGCGTCACTGGCCTACATCTTACAAGATATTGCATGTTTACATGTACATTATTCTTACTCTTACTCATAATACTAGTCTAAGTCTTACTCCTACTCCATGTTATGTTACATTATCTGTATGATGCGGTATTACCTTACATTACACGACATTACATTACACTCATCATACTCTATATATCGTAATATTGTGTTATGTTTGTGATAGCTACAGTACTTCAATACTACTCGTGCTGGTCATATGATATTACAAGCTATTAAATCAGAATCAAGAATGCTACTAATGCTCATGTACATGTGAATGTTTGCACTGATATTTGGATATTATGTGTATATATATATACATGTATGTAATCATACCTAAATATATCAGAGTAACCATCATATATCTGTATCATACTATACATTTCGTCTGATGTAGTATTTCCAGTGTTCTAGGTTATATTATAGTGCCAGACTCTTCTACGTGTATTATATCATAGTCTGCCACTTCATGTTATGTATGTTGTAATAATTACATTGTACGGTGACACTCAGGCTGGAACAGAGCTCAAGCAGCTGCCTGCGCAGATCGATGCTGTCCTGCTGGACTCTTTGACATCGGATGTTTGTTGTAGCTTCGAGCCCCTGTGGATTTGGCTTATTGTGGTGACTCTTCTTGCTGGGAGGACCGACTGCGCGGCCTGCGCATCTGCTCTACAAGTTCTGGGCAGGCAAGCAATGGGCAAAGCACACAGGACTTGACTGCCATGTTCATCGCCTCGACTGTTTCGATCAGCTGGCCCCTGACCTCTCCAGTGTTCGAGCCGTTAGCATGCAAGTCGCATCGGAGCTGTGGGACTTTCACACACGCATGATCTGCTTCCTACGGGCCCTTCTGACAGGAGCAACAAAATCCTAAGATTTGATAGTTAGCATTGGTATTTGCCATTCCCAATTGCTGAGGACAGGTCTTTGAGAGCCGTCTGAGTGTTGAATCGTCAACCAGCCCACGATACATAACGGTCAGACCCTCAAACAACAAGTGCCGAGTGCCGGGGAGTGGGCGGTCTCAATCTCAACCACGGTGGTAGTTCTGCCCTGCATTCAATAGGCTGTGGCATGTCAGCATGCACGAAGTGATATCGGGCCAAACTAAAAGCTTGCTCGTGCGCACAGCCTGTGCCAGCTGCTCCGAGAAATCTCGCGCCTACAACGGGTCAGCAAAGGCCACAATGGCAGGGCGTGCACAGGGCTCAGAGCAACGTATCTTGTCATCATGTGTGATCGCTGCTGATCGCCTTTCCCATGCAGACTGACATGCACCGAGGAGTCTCGCTATTTATGTGGATTCGTGTACAGCCCTTTCTCGTGTGGTAGCCACGAAATTGCGAACAAAAACACACTAACAATCTTTTTCCGCAACAGCGAAAGCTCAGGGGGGTTCAGCAAATCTGAACAACCCGTCCACAGCTCTGTCAGCTTTTCTGAAAAACTTTTCTGGTGCCGCATAACGTGAACCCAACGACAGTCATTCCGCCGCTGGGGATGCTCAATGGGATTATGTAGCGACATGTGGGCTAAACGCACAAATTCTCGGCAGATGCCACGCAAGTACTTGCATGAATTCCCTGGGCTCATACGACGTCTCACAGGCGCTCGCAGGAGCTCACAGCTGTTGCAGGGTCGTGGCTTCAAGACCTCTCCTCAGGTGAAAGCCATGGCGAAGAGAAGAACAGCAGCGTCTTGCTGTCGTGGAAGAACAGCGGGAGAGAACACATTTTGCATCAGTCGTTGTGATAGCCAGGCGTCAGAAGCGCTGGGACATGTTGCTGCTGCAAAGCGAGCTCCTTGCACAAGACATAACCCTACGGCCCTACTCCTAGTGCGGCTCGCACGCTAGGCTACTGAGCTACTGCTTGTGTAGATGCTCAAAGACTGCACAAAGGCCATTCGTGGAGACTCGAAGGCCGAACCCTGGCAGCCCTACAGTCTTGAGAACATCCTGCACATGAAGCTGGAGAAGTATTGCTGCAAGGTCTCACACGATGCGATGGCTGCACCAAATGTCACCAAATTCGGAGTCAGGCTCGTTTCTTCTTCCTGCCACAGCTCTTTCGCAAGATCACAAAGAGAAGTTTACTTTCAGGCTGGCATGGAGGGTACCCCTGTCGCTATCAAGTTTCACTGAAGTAAGTGAATGAGTCAGTGAGAGAGAGTGTGTGTGTGTGTGTGTGTGGAAACCTGAGCCTGGTGCCATGATGTGCCATGTAACGACCGAGTGAGTGCTGGAAGTTGCCATTTGCCGAGAAGTGCAACAGAGTGTGGCACGCTCATGGACGCAGGGGACCTGGTCAGGGTCTGCTTGCACAAGCTGGCAGTCTGCTGCCAAGATTAGCGCTTGCCCCCCCCTGTGCGAAGGATCGGGTAACACTGTTCTCATGCATGGAGATGTGCACGAGTGCCGCATTCTGAACCATTTTCTATTTGTTCTTGTCTGGTCCTGTCTGTCGCTCGTCACAGTTCCCCTTGCTGAGCATTAGCGCGCGCGCTCTCGTGTGTGTGTGTGTGTGGCGGGCTTTGATACAAATCTGTCGGCCAGTCGCTGGCACGAAAGCCACAAAATTTGCACAGCATCGGAGTTTGGGTTGTTTCACAAGGATCAGTGCTCTGAACGCTTCGGACAACTGGCGGAAGCATGGTGCTACAAGAACTTGGGCAATCCACGCAGCTGGGACGCCCTGCGATAGAAGTCATCCATCTCATCCAAAGACGTCCCCACCGTCCACAGTACCATTTTTGCAAATCGCTTGCACGAAAGACCAAAGCCCCTTCGGTGAAGCAGACGCATTTGCCCCACCCATTGGGCAGCAGCCTGTATTTTGGGGTCTGCAGTGGGCAATATCACTTCAAGGAGGGAGTCTGCAAACCTCCCTTCTTCAAGCTCAAAACAGCACACGTGGAAACTTCCTAACGCAGATGCCTGATTTCCAAGGGAAATGCTCAGAACCTCCGAACCAAACGTAAAATGCTGAGAAAGATCCTGTCAAGCGCAGCAGCGCCTCAGCCAGGAGCCGGAGGGCTCTGAGCCACTTCTGACTCTGGGCGCAGGCCAGGATCGCTGCACTGAAGCTGATGGCAGTGGGCTCGAGGCCAGCAACGCGGAGATCCTTTGACGGTATCAGCCATGCAGGGGGAGACATGTCATCTGCCTACCATGCCTTCATCAGCTGGATGGCAACTTCCCAGGCGTTCGCCTGCCAAGCTTTTGTTTTATGGAAAGTCTCTGATTGAAAATTAATCTCTCGAAGGCATCAGCCAACACCTAGGCTCGTCCCTGCCTTTTCTGCGACACTGATGGCCGAGTTGTACAGGACTGTGTTGGGCTGAATGCCACCTTCCTGGACAGCGGACCTGGCTAGACAACTGTGTGACTTGCTGGACTTGCGCAGGACATCTGCTTCTAAATACAACCATGTCATACTTAGCCCTCGGCATGATTCCAGCCGCCAAATCCCAGCGTTCAGAGCGTGCCACAGCACTAATGGTTGCACTGCACACCTAAGCCGGTCATGCCACGGAAGCATCTCAGCCATGAGCGAAAATGCACACCGGAGGCAAGGACAGTCGCGGGCGGGGCATCTGTTAAGGTCTTCTTGACTTTGACAGGCCCGCTTAGTCTCACCCTGAAGTTTGGACAAGCCACGACGACGTCAGGCAAGAGTCTGATCCTTAAGCATGCAGATCGTAGGAAAGATGTGCGATGCATCCTTGTCTCTGGTGATTTTGTTATGCCAGACCGGCGATCAAATCGCAACCGCTTATTGTGGAGACCAGGAGTGTGGCTGCTGTCATGTCCTGATGTGTTGCAGCTTGAAGTTGAAGCGAAGTGGCCGGAGAACTTCGTCGAAAAGCTCCAAGGCAAGCTCCCAGTGCTTGCACTTCTCGCAAGCGCTGATAACGGCACTGTAGGCCACGATGTTGGCCTTCACGAGTGCGCGAGACGCCAAAGACAACGCCTGGAGAGACTTTTCACTCCCCTCCACTTCTTTCTGCACTCGAGCAGGCGGCGAAGGAGCTGAGGAGGCGAGGGAAGGGGAAGGGGAGATTGCCAAGCCTAGAAAAGAGTGTGGCTATGGCATTTTGGAGGCGGCTCGTGGCCGTGGCACCTGGCCTGCAGCTTGGAGCTTTCCATGTCTTTCAGGAGAGCGAGGGCTGACTCCCAGTCCTTTCCCTTCTCGCAAGCACCTCAGGAAAGGGCCGCGGTCCTTTGGAAAACCTTCTGGATGCTATCCGAGTTCCGAGTTCCCCACTGATTGCGGCACTGCAGGCGATGACGTTCATCCCAATGCTGCGATTTCGGACCTGCTACAAGGTTAAGACCATCTGATCGGGAAAACGCGCAGGGCAAAGATGTGCAAAGTACTTGAGAGCAGCGCGGACGAAAGCTAGCGGTAAGAAGTAGAAGCGGCGAAGGACAAGCACGTAGAGAAGTGTCAGCATTTTCGGCGGGCTAGCGTGCAAGGCAAGTCGGTGTGTGGAAGGACGGGCAAACGTTTCGTGCGGATCACAATTGAAGACGCATACAGCTAGAAAACTGTCCTTTGCTCTATCGGTTTCTGGCTTTGACGGCTCGAGCCATCAATGGGCTCAGCTATCGCGCTTGCAGTAGAGGCTGATTCCGTCAGGCATGCTTATCTGTTATGCATCGGCAGTGCAGCACGCTTTGCAACTGTCGTGGCAAACTTTCATCCATCAGTATCGAACTTCGATTGAAACTCAGCACAGCTCGAGTGCTGCAGTTCCAGTCTTTTCTTGAACCTAGCTGCACTCTCAACCTATTGAAACTTTTGGGGTGGGGGGGGCCTTGAGGGAAGGGGGGGAAGGGCCCCCCCCCAATCGAAGAGCCAAGCCTGTGAAAGAATCAAGCAAAAGGGGGAGGGGGGGCTGGGGCAACCATCCCCCCTGCGCACCTCAAAATCCTTGAAAAATCGAACAGACGGGGCCCTCCTTGCTAAGTTGTCCGAGAAGGAACTATGTAAACAACAACTCCGGCAAGCTCCAAGGAGCTAGCTTTCGTGATGCCAGGCTGCGCTGTGGGTGCTTTCCGAGCCTTTTGCAGCATAATGGTTTCGTGACTTCACAAGCGGGTATCCTTTGTCGGCTTTGGCTACCGACGGTGTTTGAGGCTGCCAACCTGAACAGCTACGCCACCCTACATGATTTATTCCTCATCGAGGACTCAAGGAGTCATCTCAGGTGGCTGCACTCGGACACACTGTGCCTCGCCACACAATGCCAGCGCCATTTCCCAGCGAACTCCCTGCAAGAAGGGGTGGTGAAGTTGCCATGTGAGGCACGACGTGGGGCATTTAGGAAGCCTTCGCAAGGGCCGACATGGTCGAGGAGGCAGCGACGACGTTGGGTTTGTCCAGAGAACCTCAAGCGAGAACAAACTCCTGGTGCTGACTGCTGCAACGTACGTGGAAGCGCTACATGCCAGCAGAATTGACACAACACATAGCCACAGCAAACCGGTAACTCAGCTAGTTTAAAATGGAAGCTTTCAGAGTATGCTCCTGAAAATTGAAACTGGCAGGAGGCGGAAGAGATACCATGCTGTCTCCCACTGACAGCACTTTTCACATGCACCGATCGCAGAAGCCACCACCACGAGGTTCCCCTCCTTGGTTTGGATCCCAGAGCAGACTTTTTTGACGCATGGTGTCGGATGGTCGTGCTCGGTAGTGCTGGGCTCGGAGCCACTTGCTGCGTTGGCATCTCTTGCAGCAGCTGCAAAGCCAGCACCCAGTGGCGCCCAGACTCGCATGCATCGATGAGGGAACCGTACACGACGACCTTGATGGGGCCGGGAGAATGAGACACGTCGACACTTCTTCCGCTAGAGGAATCTAAGCTGCTTAGCTTTAGCACCGTCGTGCAGACGAGTGGCTTCAGGGCGCTAAGCATTAGGCATATTAAAGTAGCAATGGCTACAGGTAGAGCGACAGTAGTGGGAGAAGCCACGAAGGCAACTACGTCCATGATAGGCGCAGCAGAAGTGCAATTGTGGTACGAGCGAACAGATACTGATCATCCTGGCAACCACACTGAAGATGAGTTGTTCGAACACCCTAGACTTAGACTCAGGATAGAACGAGCAGGTGGCACATGAGACCAGCATTGTCGGATTCGTTGTACAGTGACACTGGAAGTCGTGACATTCATGGGTCAGAGAGCGCAATGAGCAATATGTCAGACACGCCCCTCACCCATGAGCAAGCGAAGCTTGAAACAACCTCACGGGACACCAAACATGCCGTCAACAGCTTACACAACTCGCGAGCCGCACAACGCCCGCAAAATCAAGCCCGGCCGAAGCGCGAACAGCAACTGTCGAAACCCTCATCAAGCTGTCCAGTTGAATCCGTCACTCGCTGAGTACCAGACATTAACAGACTCTTTCACTAGTACGATGCTAGTGGAGGGAATCAAAACGTAATAGTCGCAAGCGGGACAGCAAAAACAATCGTGACGACGATAAACATGACAATAACAACGGCAACAACCGTCATCGTCGTCATCACCATCATGGTAATCAGAACCATCATCATCATGCATCAGAATCAACGTCACCACGAGGAGTCACGTATACCGACAAAGAGCAGCACGAAGCAAACTGCTACGGATGCTCCACAAAGCGTGATATTTGCAATTGAGCATTGGCAAATATTGGAAACAGTCTCAGAGCATTCAGGATGAGAACGTACATACCACCACAGCAGCCGCAGCCTTAACAACAACACTGGAAGCAGCCGTAACGACAGCAGAAGCAGAACGAACAATAAACCAATGACGATAATTACAAAGTGGCTATCCTTGCCACCGCATGACCACCATCACTCCAAACCACTCCAATCTTAAGCCTCAAAGCCAGCACAAAAGCCAACGTCTTGGTCTCTTGGGGTTGTTGGGGGCCCGGCGTTTTTGCTCAGCCCCGCTTCTTTCAGCGACTCCCCGAGCTGCAGGCACCTCTCAAAGCCCCAGCCGCAGAGATGTCTTCTTGACAACTCTGCCCTTTGCCTCTGCCAGCGGTTTGCCAGCGTACAGGCCGCCATTGCTGCAGCATACGTCACCCTTAGAGCGCTTTAACTCTGCACAGCCTCGACATGTCTCCAGTGCATGAAAGCAACACACTGCGCGCAGCACCCAAGGAAGGCATCTTGTTGAGAACGGACAGGGCAAGCTCCCAACCTCGGCATTCGCGCAATCATTCCTTTTAGATTGGGAAGAGTGGCCGAGTCTTGGGCGTTCGGCCCTGCCGCAGGCAGTTATCACGGAGTTGCAGAGTACAGAAGTTGGCCTGAGCTAGCACTGCTCGTGTTGGCTTTTCATGACCTACCTTGTCGCAGCTGCAGCTTTCAAGCAACTGCCGCCATTGACGATCGAAACTTACATTACGAAACATGCTGCGGCAGCGAACCACATGCAGGCAAGATCTTGCTGACTTGGCTAGCTGCAGTCACAGCTTGACTGACCGGCATGCAAGGAAGAAACAACCCGCAAAGTCGCTAGAACAACCATCAGAATTTTGAATCTGAATAGCTCTGGCCTGCACAAGTCCTCTACGCTACAACCTTTCCGGGTCGACTTTTGCGCATTTGCCGGTCAGGTGGCTGCAGTTGGGCTGCACACGCATCCCCCAGGATTGCCACTGCGTGACTCCAGATGGCTCCAGCTGCGCAGGCTGCAGCCGCCGCACCAAAGATAACGATGTCGGGCTGGAAGCCACGCCTGTGGTGGCTGGGGGCCCCGCTACAGTGCCAAGAGGTGTTGACTCTGGCTCGAGTTGAGGCTTTCAGGGTGGCGAAGCAGCTTCCAAAAGCCGTTTGGGCCATGAAGCACAGACTAGTAGCCGAGTCGAAAGAGAAGCTCATGTCTTTGCACTCTGAAGTTTCCCGGAAATCGCTATGATCTATGGCCCGAGATGCCTCGGAAGAGCTTCGAGCATCTGCAGAGCTTCGAGCCACAGCGTCCCGGCAGCAGAAGTACTTATAGCTGCACTCCAGCAGAACAGATCCGGATTGCCTCCCGTCGCAGGCATGTCACTTTCACAGCATTGAAGCTGCACGAGTTTCGGTTTTTGTATAGCAGCAGCAGGTGCCCTCACAGACCTCGTGCATAAAGATCTTCGAACAACTCGACCGCCGTGGGCCACTGCAGTGCTTTGCTGCAGGCATTTATGGCGATGCCTTGTGTATACAGTGGGGCAGCTTGCGGCACAAAGCAAACGATGCATCCTCTCTTGCTATGAGTTCGAAGTTCGTTCGGACCCAAGTGCGGCCGGGATGCTGCATGCCACGTTGCTCGGAGTGCTTCCTGCACCCGCGTCGACATGTCCAGGCAAAGCTCAAGCACATCAGCTGTCAAACGCTTACGACGATTGCAATACAGCCACGTCCTGCGTTCACAGACTCCAGCATGCCCAGGATTCGTTGCCACTGAAGCTTGCGACCAAGCTCCGACATACTGCGAACCTGGGCCCCCATGTGTAGTGCTTTCATGCTCTGTCTTGGCATCAACACGACGAATGGGGCGCCAACCATCTGCCTCGCATCTGCCGTGGCAGAGAGCGGGGCCATGTCTCCACCGCCCTACATGGCTGCAGCAGCCGTCCCTCCCCCTCCGCGTTCTCTGTTGGAGCAAAGATGGAGCGTTCAAGCACGGGTCACGTCTCGCTGTAAAGAGCACCACTTTGCAACCCACGAGCTGACCCTGGCAGGGCGCAGCAGTGGCGCGGGGCGCCTGGGAAGCCATCTCTTCCGCCAGCATGCGCTTGACCTCGACGAGCGGCAACAGCATGGAATGAACGGAACGACAGGTGCAGTGCGCACAGTGTGCATATGAGATGCCGAGCCGAACACCTCTGCGAGCTCTAAGGACAAGGTGCCCCGAAGTGCGACCAGTGAAGCCTGTCCATGAAATCTGATCATGTCATCCCCCATTTCCCGCTCCCTTCTCAAGCACCTCGGTCTGGGCAAGCTGCTCAGATTGGATCTGCTGAGAAGGACGTTGGTCAGCCTTCCGTTCCACGTACACAGGCTTCGCAAAAGGCCAAAAACGAACGCGTCCAGACCCAGGCGACCTCTGACACCTCACCGAAGGACATCCGCAGCTCGGCAAAGCCTTTCTGCAGCTCCTGGCAGCGAGATGCACAGCGATTTCAGCTGGGCGGCAGGAGCACATCCCTTCCGATCTTTTTTGCTGCGTTTGTCAGCGAGGCTCGTCCGCACTGCTCATCGCCTGAGGCAGCAGGGGCTGTAGGCCAGGAAGAGTGGAGCAAAGAGTCACTGCTCGCCTCTGCCAAAGCCCTTTGAAAGGCATATGGCCGGTCGCGCGGGAGGACGACCTGGCAAAGCCTAATTCCCTGTTCACCATACAAGTACTAGTGCTAGTTCCACGATGACGACGACGGCCACTCTAAGTACAACTACTGCTGCTAGTGCTGCTAGTGCCACAGGTACTACTACTTACTACTTACTACTTACTGCTTACTGCTTACTGCTTACTACTTACTGCTTACTCCTTACTGCTTACTCCTTACTGCTTACTACTTACTGCTTGCTACTGCTACTGCGATGACCACGACCACGACCACCACCCCCAACACCAACCCCCCCCCCCCCCCAACACCCCCACCACCCCCAACACCCCCACCAACCCCCCCACCCACACCACCCACCACCCCCGCCCCCACCACCCCCAGCGCCACCAACACCAGCACCCCCAGCACCACCACGGACTATCTACTACCTAATACTTACTGCGTCTTGGCACTTACTACTCACGACCTACTGAACACTGCTACCAGCTACCACGAAGCACTAATGACCAACCACACACGCTATGCCAAGTTACTACAAACCAGCGAGTACTTCTACTCCTACTGCTACTACTGCAACTGCTGCTGCAAACAGTGGTCGCTCATCCATTCGGAGCCCAGCGCTGAATATATCCTTTATCCACGCCGGGCAATGACAGTAGGGCATGGGAACTCCCAGCCTGGGGCGGTACGAGCTGTGCGAGCTTTTCGCGGGCCGCACGAGGTAGCGAGGACTGCAAGGCCTCGGAAACTCAGCGGCGGCGCTTCGGCTGCGACGTGCTGCGCTTCTCTCTCGGCTCCGAACACGGATCTTCTTCTCCCGCGTATCGAGGCGAGCCTACTCGGCGCAAGGCTGAGCTCCATCAAGACTGGGAACTGCCAGAACTGTAGGCTGCGTGTCGAAGAGTCGCAATTGCCGCCTCCCATCTTCGGAGGGCAGCTTCCCATGCCTTCGGGCAGGCACAAGATTGCTCAAAGCCCAATCAAAAAACCCTGCGACTAAACCTGCAAACCCTGGTTCAACGCCAAGTGCCTGGAGCTCCGAGCCTTGCAGCTGCTCGGAAGTGGAATCCGAGCCTTTTCCGGGCTCCCTGCAGCTGGCAAAACTTCTGAAGTTGCTTTTGCAAGCTTAACCAATCGGAAGTCCCTGCAGCAAAGTGGCACAATCTCCACATCATCCTCGGACTCCTTGCACGGCGAAGGCCGCACGGGAGCAGCCACTGATCTTCTCACCGCCCCTCTCGCTACCTCCTCTTTGACCTCGCCCTTCACAGCCGTTCCTCCTTGGCACTTGGCACGGAACGAGCGAAAGAGCGAGAGAGCGAGAGAGCGAGACAGAGAAAGAGAGAGAGAGAGAGAGAGAGAGAGGGAGGGAGAGAGAGAGAGAGAGAGAGAGAGAGAGAGAGAGAGAGAGAGAGAGAGAGAGAGAGAGAGAGAGAGAGAGAGCGCGAGAGACACTGACAAAGAGAACGAGAGCCGGCACGGGAAACTTCCTGCAGCTGCGGATGCTGCGGTCAGAACCCAGAACCCCATCCCATCCCAAACGGAAACTTTTTAGGCCGTGCGGAGCACGAGATCCACAGGGCTGTGCGCCTGCGGCTTCCTCCGGTCTGTGAGAATCGCCGCCAGATGAGGGGCCGTGTTTCAAACCTTTGCATGGAGGGTGCGGAGGAGCTCTCCAAAGTAGTGGGTGGATAGGTGACCTATCGTGACGTGTCATCTCTAGCAATCCGCGGAAGATGACAGCACTCGGCAGCGCAGCCATCCCCGAAGCAGCCCCAAAGTTTTTTTACTTCCATAGTCTCCTGCCTGTCTTGGCATCATGGTGACACCGTGGGTGGGGCAGCTTCAAAAATGGCGGTTGACTGCGTTCTCATATATATATATATATATATATATATATATATATATATATAGATTCTGCCTGTTTGTGTTGGCATTAGGAGCAAAGGGACGAGCCATGTATGTTTCCCCAAATGACCTTGTTCGTGTAGAAGGACCAATTTTGCCTAGGTCCCCTACTCTCTCTCCTCTTGGTAACTTACTTGGCGTAAAGGGTCTTGCTGGGGTGTACGCATAATATGTCCAGTCAGCTTATCGCATTTTTTCATCAACATCTCTGAAAGAGCTTTATCTTGTTTTCCCCGCCTATTGCTGCACTTGCTCTCTCAATGACTCTTGCATTCGTGTTTGCTCTGTCTACATAAGTGGTATCCATTCCTAAAACCTTCCGTAAGCCTCGCAGCTGTCAAGCCCATGCAGCAACTTTTCTTGACGATGGCATCATACACGTGTAGCTTCCAATGCTTAGGGCTTAGGGCAGGCAGTTGACGGATTTCAGAAAGCATTCAGCTTGAACGATAACTTGAGAGTTTGATGCATGTTACGGTGTGTTTCATGCCTGATGTCCATTGCCTGGGTAATTTGATGTCCTAAACAAGTTGCCTCATCCACCCTTGTCAGCCGTGTTCCATCTGCGAACTTCATGATACTGTTACCGTTCATTGCAAGATAAGAACATTTCTCTCTGTTCAATCTTAGCCCAAATTGAGCTGATACCTTCTCTATTTCGTGCAACAGGTTATTGCATGCTTGCGTGCATGTTGTGATTATAAGTGTATCGTCAGCATAATACACTCAGTCAACGTCAAGCCCTTCGAACCGTGTATTTCGCGTTCTTGCTGTGATATTCCTGCCGATGTGCTGATCAATAACGCTCATGACCAGAACAGACAGAAACGGTGAAAGAGGACAGCCCTGTCTGATACCTGAACTTTGAACACCTTCAAAGTGGTGGAATAGACTGATGCTTGTGTCCGGGCCGCGGCTGGCATCAGGGCACTCCTGCGCTGGCCCCTCCTTCGGTCCAAGTGCGTGGACAAGAAAGCAGTAGTTTCCCCTCATACTCTCAGCACTCAAAGGCAACGGCTTGTGGTCCTTTTTCAAACGTAAGGGTTCCTCAGTCCAAGGGTGTTCACTTCGATCCCAGCGATCTCGGTCTTCGTGACCGCTGCCTCGACCCTCATCATGCCTCCCGCTGAGCTGACGTCTTCGATTTCCGCTGCAAGACTTCATAGACCTTTTAGGATCCTCTTAGGCTCCAGAGACCTCTGGCCTTTGCCACGAGCGTTGGCGCTTGTAACTCGCCTGGTGTCGCTTGCATTGGCCACTTTTGGCGACTCTGCACGGACAACGAAATCAGGCCCCTGGGCCTCCTCCGCTGCCTGGTCCTGCGAGTATGCATGGGACCAGGTGCGATGGCGCCCTGCACGGCCAAGCTTGGGAGAAGCTATCTCTCGCACTGGTCCGGCCTTATGCAAACGTTGTATCGAATATCCGAACAGGTTTGAAGCTTGCATCTAATGACCATGAGACTCCCGTGACGGCATCGCTAGGTTTCGTTCCGGCGTGGCCTGGTTCCGATGCCGGCCGGGGTGACTGATGTGAATGTCCTCGGTACGCGACTCGCCGAAGACATCGCAAAAGAGCGGCACCCTCCAGGCCTCGAGGAGACTGCTTCGCCATGTAGGGCGCGTGAATCTCAGGCGAAACTCGACGAGCAAGCCAGGAGGAATTACGAGGGCTTCAGCCAGAGCTGTGAAGACTGGCTGAAGGCAACTCAGGCTGTCAGACGACCGTCGCCCGCCCTGTGCCTTGCAACGGTACTTGCAGTGCCTCGCCGTGCACTCCGCGTTCTGCTTGTAGCAAACCTAGGCAGCTTCTGGACGGAGACCCTCAATGATTTGAAACTTGAAAAATTTGGCCCAGAAGCGCTGTACTGTCGGTACAACCACGACTCGGCCTGGGAGTTGGCACCCAGATAGCAGGACTTGAGAACCGGAGGCGTGGAGAACGAAAGCTCGGCGATTTGTTATCTGGTGGATGTTCGCGGAAGTAGTAGTAATAGTAGTACCAGTCGTCGTAGTCGTCGAAATAATAAGGGTAGTCGTAGCAGGAGTAGCAGTCGTCGTAGTAGTAGTAGCAGTAGTAGTAGTAGTAGTAGTAGAAGTAGTAGTAGCAGCAGCAGTAGCAGTAGCAGTAGCAGTAGCAGTAGCAGTAGCAGTAGCAGTAGCAGTAGCAGTAGCAGTAGCAGTGGGGAGTAGGAGTAGAAGTAGTAGTAGCAGTGGTAGTAGTTATTGTTGTTGTCGTCGTCGCAGTAGCAGTAGCACTAGCACTAGCGCCAGCACTAGCACTGGGACTGGCACATTAGCACTACTGGTGCTGATACTGGCACCGGAACTGGTGCTGGTGCTGGTAGCAGCAGTGGCAGCAGTAGTAGTAGTAGCAGCAGTAGTAGTAGGAGTAGGAGTAGGAGTAGGAGTAGGAGTAGGAGGAGTAGTAGTAGTAGTAGCAGTAGTAGTAGTAGTAGTAGGAGTAGCAGTAGCAGTAGCAGTAGGAGTAGGAGTAGGAGTAGGAGGAGTAGGAGGAGTAGGAGTAGTAGTAGGAGTAGTAGTAGTAGCAGTGGATAGGAGGAGGAGGAGGAGGAGGACGAGAAGGAGTCATTTCTCAGAGTGCTCCCCAGAGGCACTACCAAATATCGGACACGTTACGCAAGCAGTTGTGCAGGAGGCAGTCGCGGATGAGTTCTACAGCTATTCAGCTTTGATGGCTGCCCAACTTCCCCCACCTTTCAATTTCCCCTCCCCCCAACCCATAACCCCCGGTGAATTGATACTATCAACAACTTGCTGGTTTCTGGTCCTGATCTGCTTCTCTGCTAAAAACCAAGACTTGACTCAAGCCCTGCTCCACGAGCTTTCGTGACATGAGTGTTGGCCTGCCTCTTCCACACTTTCGAGGCAATTGTGCTCGAGACCTTTGCCAAGAAAGATCCTAGACCGGCACATTTCTTTTCCACAGGGTTTGTCACCGCTTTCACGGTCAGCGGCCTGTGCTTGCCTGGTGCTGCTCAGCATTAAGTTGGAAACCCGACTGCAAGCTCATTTACATAGTCTGCTGAAACATCTAATTGTCATGATTTCTCCGAGCTTTCTTGAACAACACTTGCCCTTCCTCACGAACAGCTGTGATTCGGGGTCCTCAGCAACAACCGCCCTGTCTATCGTGCTCAATCAACCCACCCGTTGCTTTGTCTCCTCTTGTTTTCAGCCGAAAGTGCGCAGCCACAGGGGCGTATCACCCTCCCGTCGGCAGGAACTGCCAGCCGAGATGAGGCTCAGCGCACCGCTGCTAGAGATCCTTGCAGACTTTAGCGGGAGGCGCTTGGGTTTCGTACTGAGGACGAGGCAGGAAAGCAAGGCCGGACGTTGAGAGCTGCATGCAGTCACATTGGTCGTGCATCGGAATTTAGCGGGGGCTTCAGAGAAGGCTTTGATCAGTAATCCGACACAACTTGTCTGAAGCAAGCACCTGAAGTAGTCCGGATGTCAGGTGTTTGTTGTCCATGGCTCCTGTTGTGAGACAAATGGAGCTCTTCCAGGTTCGGGCAGTGCTCCAGAAATCGCGCCAACAATTCCTGGGCAAAGGGATCTGCAAACACCAAACCGGGCTTCTCGCATCCAAACTTGATTCAAGGTCGAGTGGCGGCTCCGTCATCATCGAGGTCGTTCTTGAACAGCTTGAGGACCTCGCAGAGCAAGGCCGGACAAGCCGGGTCAACTCATCTGCCTGGTTTCCACGTGGACAAAAGCTGGCATTGGCAGACCATACGTCTACACGGTGATTCTACGGCGACGCGGTGCTTCTGGTGCTGGTCTGCAGGCATGTTCATCAGTTCTGGGTGAGATCGGCTGTTTGCCACCCGCAGGCTGTGGAATCATTCATGGCGAAAAGCACTTTCTGTTACACAGTTGCGAATTGGGAATTGACATCTTTCGGCACTTCCACGATTCTTCCCGCAGATTGTTACCGGCTTTGCCTTGAGCCGACGGCAGCGACTGCAAAGGTCCAGGATGCAGCGCAGGCCACGGCCAGAGAAGCTGTTGTCCTTGCTGCACGGTGTAGTGCTTACCATCTGGATAAGCAGCTTCGCTGAGGATTCAACCGCTAATTAGCATTCAGAAGGCAATCACTGCACTCTTGGATTTGGTTAGGGTGCAGCCCCCGCTGCTAAGTTCTGCTGCACGTTTCCAAGGCCCTATCCATCCAACAGAACTCAAAAGCCAGGATGCCGAAAAGTCGACTTCTTCGTAGTCGTTGTCATACTCTGTGCAGAGATCCAACCTCTGTGCTGCCGTCAGGATCCATAACTGTTACATAAGACAGGTCTGGACCCAGGGAGATGTGAGCAGTTCCTTCTTGTAGCATATCCAAACGCCCAGAAAGGCCAAACGACTCTCTCCGGCTACTTCGACAGTATCGTTGTCGGCTTTCGTTCCTGCTCTACTCTCACTCAGCAACTGCTCTTCCAAACGAGCCAGTTCATCCAATGCTGCCTTCTCAACATGCTGCCGCGTGGCCGTGCAATGTCCGCATCACTGAGACCCTGGTGGCTTCTACTATGATTTTGTGTGCCCGAAGTGCGAAACTAGCTAGGGCAGCAAAACTTGGTGCGAACACAAAATGATCCGAGCACATGCACGCACCGTGATGGGGCCTGCTTGGCGAAGTTCAATACACCTCTGCGGCGTCCTTTGCCACCGCCTTTGCCCATCCGTTCAGGGCCAAACGACCCGCACCATCCCGGTCACAAACAGAGAAGGGCTGGTGCACTGAAGCAAAGCAGCTACCGCCACCGCCCTCGTCATGTCTACTTCTGCCAACAGTACCTATGGGTAGGCTTGAGAGAGCGATGGTCGCTGCCAAACTATTAGCCCGTGTTGGGCCGCTTACCCTCGTGCTATGATCGAACATGCCAAGCATGCCGACGGGAGGGTCAGCTCAGGTGCATTTTCTTAGGAAAAAGCTATTTTTAGTGCGATTGTCTCAGCTGGTTGTAAGTAAATGCAGGCATGGACTACAGCTGCTCAATGCTGCGACTTCACTACCATGCGGCCATGCTGATGAGCCGAAGCTGACGTCACTAGAAGCTCACCTGCATCGACATCTTGGACTGCCATTGCGCACAGCTGAGGCTTCTAGGACAACGGACACGTTACTTCGGACGGTTTCCAAGGCAGCCTTCCGATTTCAACATCAGTTCCTGCTCTCTTGTCGCAAGGCGCCTCGGACGCACGGCCCACTTGCTCAAAGAACTGTACCTGACAAGGCCATTGCACAATTTCGCACACTCAATTGAACACTGTGATGAGCCCCTGATGTGCACGTCAGTCGAAGCGCCAACGAATGCATCTCGTTGGTTGCAGCAAGCTTTCGGGGGCAAAGGCAAGGACGTGTCCCGGAGTTCTCCCGCCCTCTGCCTTGGCCTCCATCTCGTCCGACTTTGCTGTGGCAGATAGCGCCTTGTGCACAGTGGATGCTATTGGCGACAGGCTACATCACCGCCCGTACTCATACGTGCCAGTTGATGATTGCATCGAAGCCCAATTCGCACATCTATCGCTCGCAACAGCTCCCAGGATGAAACTGCGAGTACGTTACCGTACAAGTACGTTGCTTCGTCTAGCGGCAAAACGGCTTTTGTGCAGAGGCATGTATACATAAACGTCCACACGTCACATACAGTAACAGGAAAGCCGTGGAATCGAACCGGAACCGCAAAACCGGAACAGCAAGAACCGATCGCACAGAACCGAACCGCACCGGAACCGAGCCGCAGGTGAAACCGAACAACCGAACCGAAAAACGGTTCCTCCCTCTCGCTCTCTCCGTTGCTTGCTTATGGACAACGAGAGCGCGCAGCACCCGCCCCCCGCGCGCGAACGCGCACCGAAGTCTTTGTTTTGTATGGCTCGCGACTCGATGAGGCTCGAACTGAACCGGGCAACCCCCTTTGATAACCCTCTCTCTCTCTCTCTCTTGGGCGTGGGATAACCCTCTTGCTTGCCTACCCCTTGCTTGCTTGCTTGCTTCAAGACGGGTATGAGGGCCAAGGCCCCCTGGCCAGCAGGCCTACCCGCTCAACGGTTCGCGTCTGTCAAGCCTCTCTTTGCTTTGCTTTGCTCGGGGTTTGAGCGGGAGCAGTCTCTCTCTCTCTCTCTCTCTCTGTCTCTCTCTGTCTCTCTCGCTTGCTTGCTAAGGGGTGTGAGCACATGCAAGCATGTGCTCTGGGCCCGAGGGCCTACCCCCCATGGCTCGCCTCTCTCTCTCTCGCTCGCTCTCTATCTCATGCAAAAGCACAAGCCTCTCAAGCCCAAAGAAGGGTACCTTGTTTGGGGCCGGATGGTTGGGAAGCCCCGCTAAACAGAAGAAGGTACCTGTTTTGGTTTTGTCCAGGCCTCTCAGGCCCAAATAGGATACCTTCTTCGGGTGGGATGGTTGGGAAGCCTTGCAAACACAAACAAGAACCATTGTTGGGTTTTCCAGGCCTCTCAAGCCCTAAAAAAGTATTTCTCGGGCCGGGATGGTTGGGAAGCCTCGCAAACACAAAAAGGTACTTTTTTTGTGTTTTCCAGGCGTCTCAAGCCCAAAAAAAGTACCTTTTTCGGTGCGGGATGGTTGGGAAGCCTCGCAAACACAAAAAGGTACCTTTTATTTGTGATTTCCATGCCTCTCGAGCCCAAAAAGTACATTTTTCTTTGCGGGATGGTTAGGAAGCCTCGCAAGCACAAAGAGGTACTTTTTCTTGTGTTTTCCAGGCCTCTCAAGCCTGTTTTCGGGCCTAATGGTTGGGAAGCCTCATTTGTGCTTTCCAGGCCTCCCAAGCCCAAAACTCGCAAAAACAAAAAGGTACCTTTATCGGGGGGCGATGGTCGGGAAGCCTCGCAAACATAAAAAGGCACCTTTCTTGTGTTTTCCAGTTATCTCAAGCACGAAAAGAAATCTTTTCCGGTGCGGGATGGTTGGGAAGCCTCGCAAACACAAAAACGTACCGTTTTTTGTGATGTTCCAGGCCTCTCGAGCCCAAAAAAGGTACCTTTATCGGGGTGGGATGGTTGGGAAGCCTAATGCAAAAAGGTACCCTTATTCCGGGATGGTTGGGAAGCCTCGCAAACACAAACAGGTACCTTTGTGTCTTCCAGGCCTCTCAACCCCAAAAAGGCACCCCCCAGGCCCCCCAAGCCCAAAAAGGTATCTTTATCGGAGCGGGATGGAAAAATACTTTTTTCTGTATTTTCCAAGCCTCTCAAGCCCAAAGATACCATTTTTTGCGTTTTCCAGGCCTCTCAAGCCCACAAAGGTACCTTTATGGGGGTGGGATGGTTGGGAAGCCCCGCCAAACAGAAGGTACCTATTTTGGTGTTGTCCAGGCCTTTCAAGCCCAAATAGGGTACCTTCTTCGGGGTGGGATGGTTGGGAAGCCTCGCAAACACAAACAAAGACCATTCTTGGGTTTTCCAGGCCTCTCAAGCCCCAAAAAAGTATTTTTCGGGGCGGGATGGTTGAGGAGCCTCGCAAACACAAGAAGGTACCTTTTTTTGGGGTTCCCAGGCCTCTCAAGCCCTTTTACCTTTTCGGGGCAGGATAATTGGGAAGCCTCGCAAACACCAAAAGGTATCTTTTTTGGGCTTTCCAAGCCTCTCGAGCCCAAAAAGGTATCTTTATCGGGGCGGGATGGTTGGGAAGCCTCGCAAACACCAAAAGGTGTCTTTTTGTGCTTTCCAGGCCTCTCAAGCCCAAACAGGTACCTTTTTCGGTGCGGGATAGTTGGGATGGGCCTCTGCATCCACGGTTACACAAAAATGGCGAACATTAGAAACACGGAACCAGTGACTGACAGAATCTATAGGATACGAAATCCGAAACCAACCAGTATAGGTACTCAGAAGCCTCATCTATGAAGTCACACTTGCGTAGTAGATAAAGAGCAAGCCGTCGGAACCGCCAACCGGAACCGCAAGAACCGGAACCACCAGAACCGAACCGCACAATGTTAAGGTTCGGTTCACGGAAGCGGTGCGGAAACGAACCGCGGCCATACTGACATAAACTAAACGAGCCGGAACTACGTTGCTTTCATGTGCATGCGTACTTCAGTCGGCAACGATATGACTGCATACTTCGAGATCCCATCGTGTCTCATCTGCTGAGAACACCGGCTGCCTCGACCGACGGCTTCGCTCCTGCAAGCAAGCCAAGCCACCTATCATGCGGAGCGATCCTCCCGCCCTCATCGCACGTTCGGCGGTTGCGAGTCCTGACTGCAGGGCAGCCAGCTCGGCGAAGGCGCTCTGGACTTCGCCCTCAAGTTCTTGAGGTCAAGTCAACTCACAGCACCCGTGAATGCTCTACATGGAACGACTCGCAAATGCCGCCTGCATGTCCCGCTGTCGGCATTCGTGGGCCTGCCACGTCAGCTCTGAACTCTCTGGCCATGCTGAGGGCTGCGTCAGAAACAACACAAGGCGTCTGACCGCTGCTCCCGTTCGGCGCTTTTGCAAGCCCAGGGCTTTGCGCCGGTGGGAACAAACTATGGAGGGCCTGTCACCTTGAACTGCTCTGACTTGAACTGAAGACTTAAATTCTCAAAGAAGCGACCGGATACTTCAGGAACACATGGCCTTCAGCCTCTGGCTGCCGGCTCCATGCCACTCTCGGCATTTGCCTTAGCGAGTGTCAGTCCTGAACAGACCCGATGTCAAACCGGACAAGCTTGCTTTCTTGAAACGTGCTGCGTGCCTCTTGGCACGCTGACTCTTGGACCCCTTTCTGGGGCGGGTACATACTTCAAAGATTCTGCGATGACGTGCCAACAACGGCAGTCTGCCTTGCATGCCATCTGTCACTCCCAGCTCAGCAGCGCTTCGGTCACAGAATCCGCATCTGTTCCACCACATCGCGCAGGCGATCTTTGGTGTGATCGCCGGAGCGCCGTGCAGTGAACATCAGCAGCGATGCCAAGTTCATGTGCGTGTCATGGATGCTTCTCTGCAGCTTCCAGACCTGTTCGGGGCTCAGCGCCTTTTTGCTCAGAATGGCTTCGTCATCTTCCTGCAGTATTTCCTCCGACAGGATGGCATGCACAGTCTGCAGAGCCTCTGGCCCAAAATCCAGCAGCTTGCCATGCAAGAGCCTCCAATTCATTCTGATGAAATCAGACTTTGGCATGCTTTGCGTGAGAGCCCGGGCTTTCTTGGTAAGCTTTTGCTCACGTGGACGTTGATGAGGCAAATGGCAGAAGGTGCAATCTGGCCCGAGAGGACAATTACGGCCTTTGACAATGTGAACACACGGCCGAGAACACAACCGAGGATGGCCGATGCTGCCTTCACTGTGCTGCTCATCTGGTTGATGCTGCGAGATCTTCCCGCAGGCTTCCTTGACGTGCCCCTCAGCTGCCGCCAAACGCTCCTAAACCTACAAATGTTTCGATGTCGCCACCGCTTGCCAAGAAGACTTAACCCCTTCGCTTCTCCTGAAGATGCTGGAAAACGACCCTCGGCCTGCAGATTCTGAACGTGACACAGCTTGCTCGTAACTGGCATTCTGCTACTAGTAGGTGGAGATCTGTATTGAATCGTCTGAGCCCGCGGCATCTTGGCTGTGCGCACTGTGGCTCGCCACTTGCATGTTGGAGATGTTTTCGGCAAAGGGAGCGCAGGGCGCGAAGGACCAAGGAAGACTCCAAGATCGCCTCAAGGACGGTTGCACATCCTCTTCATCGATAAACTCAAGGAAAGTGAAACGCTGACGAATCTTCATCTTCTCGGTCTTGTCGAGAAGAACACATGGAAACCGATTCTCGACTTGAGCCGAGCATGGAAGCAGGCGGAACTTCGACCACGGCTCATCTGCTCCCCTGCGGGCACAAAGCGGCCTGGAGATGTGCCCAAAGCTCCTTTGCGAGGGCAGTTCGTGTGAGGCTTGGCAAGCTTTCAGGGCCTTTGCCCGTCGCCCTGCAACGGTGCTGATATTCCCTACAAGTAGCTCTCTTGTGCATCGAGCTCAGACGCAGGCCGTTGCGCAGAGGCTCAGAAAGAGAGATCACCCGCAACCATGCAGCACCCGCAAGTCAGCGGCCCAAGGCGTCCTCCTCTGCATGGCCGTGCTGGAGGCGCTGCTCCTCCAAGCTCGCCAGCGCCTCAGTCAATCAAAAAAAGCCGCATCCGAAAGGTCATGCGAAGCGGATCATAGCACTCCCCAGCGCATTGCTTCAAACACAGGGAAACTGAGGAGATTGAGTGCGGTCTACTCGGCCTTGATACTTCGAGATCCCATCGTGTCTCATCTACTGAGAACACCGGCTGCCTCGACCGACGGCTTCGCTCCTGCAAGCAAGCCAAGCCACCTACCATGCGGAGCGATACTCCCGCCCTCATCGCACGTTCGGCGGTTGCGAGTCCTGACTGCAGGGCAGCCAGCTCGGCGAAGGCGCTCTGGACTTCGCCCTCAAGTTCTTCAGGTCAAGTCAACTCACAGCACCCGTGAATGCTCTACATGGAACGACTCGCAAATGCCGCCTGCATGTCCCGCTGTCGGCATTCGTGGGCCTGCCACGTCAGCTCTGAACTCTCTGGCCATGCTGAGGGCTGCGTCAGAAACAACACAAGGCGTCTGACCGCTGCTCCCGTTCGGCGCTTTTGCAAGCCCAGGGCTTTGCGCCGGTGGGAACAAACTATGGAGGGCCTGTCACCTTAAACTGCTCTGACTTGAACTGAAGACTTAAATTCTCAAAGAAGCGACCGGATACTTCAGGAACACATGGCCTTCAGCCTCTGGCTGCCGGCTCCATGCCACTCTCGGCATTTGCCTTAGCGAGTGTCAGTCCTGAACAGACCCGATGTCAAACCGGACAAGCTTGCTTTCTTGAAACGTGCTGCGTGCCTCTTGGCACGCTGACTCTTGGACCCCTTTCTGGGGCGGGTACATACTTCAAAGATTCTGCGATGACGTGCCAACAACGGCAGTCTGCCTTGCATGCCATCTGTCACTCCCAGCTCAGCAGCGCTTCGGTCACAGAATCCGCATCTGTTCCACCACATCGCGCAGGCGATCTTTGGTGTGATCGCCGGAGCGCCGTGCAGTGAACATCAGCAGCGATGCCAAGTTCATGTGCGTGTCATGGATGCTTCTCTGCAGCTTCCAGACCTGCCCGGGGCTCAGCGCCTTTTTGCTCAGAATGGCTTCGTCATCTTCCTGCAGTATTTCCTCCGACAGGATGGCATGCACAGTCTGCAGAGCCTCTGGCCCAAAATCCAGCAGCTTGCCATGCAAGAGCCTCCAATTCATTCTGATGAAATCAGACTTTGGCATGCTTTGCGTGAGAGCCCGGGCTTTCTTGGTAAGCTTTTGCTCACGTGGACGTTGATGAGGCAAATGGCAGAAGGTGCAATCTGGCCCGAGAGGACAATTACGGCCTTTGACAATGTGAACACACGGCCGAGAACACAACCGAGGATGGCCGATGCTGCCTTCACTGTGCTGCTCATCTGGTTGATGCTGCGAGATCTTCCCGCAGGCTTCCTTGACGTGCCCCTCAGCTGCCGCCAAACGCTCCTAAACCTACAAATGTTTCGATGTCGCCACCGCTTGCCAAGAAGACTTAACCCCTTCGCTTCTCCTGAAGATGCTGGAAAACGACCCTCGGCCTGCAGATTCTGAACGTGACACAGCTTGCTCGTAACTGGCATTCTGCTACTAGTAGGTGGAGATCTGTATTGAATCGTCTGAGCCCGCGGCATCTTGGCTGTGCGCACTGTGGCTCGCCACTTGCATGTTGGAGATGTTTTCGGCAAAGGGAGCGCAGGGCGCGAAGGACCAAGGAAGACTCCAAGATCGCCTCAAGGACGGTTGCACATCCTCTTCATCGATAAACTCAAGGAAAGTGAAACGCTGACGAATCTTCATCTTCTCGGTCTTGTCGAGAAGAACACATGGAAACCGATTCTCGACTTGAGCCGAGCATGGAAGCAGGCGGAACTTCGACCACGGCTCATCTGCTCCCCTGCGGGCACAAAGCGGCCTGGAGATGTGCCCAAAGCTCCTTTGCGAGGGCAGTTCGTGTGAGGCTTGGCAAGCTTTCAGGGCCTTTGCCCGTCGCCCTGCAACGGTGCTGATATTCCCTACAAGTAGCTCTCTTGTGCATCGAGCTCAGACGCAGGCCGTTGCGCAGAGGCTCAGAAAGAGAGATCACCCGCAACCATGCAGCACCCGCAAGTCAGCGGCCCAAGGCGTCCTCCTCTGCATGGCCGTGCTGGAGGCGCTGCTCCTCCAGGCTCGCCAGCGCCTCAGTCAATCAAAAAAAGCCGCATCCGAAAGGTCATGCGAAGCGGATCATAGCACTCCCCAGCGCATTGCTTCAAACACAGGGAAACTGAGGAGATTGAGTGCGGTCTACTCGGCCTTGATACTTCGAGATCCCATCGTGTCTCATCTACTGAGAACACCGGCTGCCTCGACCGACGGCTTCGCTCCTGCAAGCAAGCCAAGCCACCTACCATGCGGAGCGATACTCCCGCCCTCATCGCACGTTCGGCGGTTGCGAGTCCTGACTGCAGGGCAGCCAGCTCGGCGAAGGCGCTCTGGACTTCGCCCTCAAGTTCTTGAGGTCAAGTCAACTCACAGCACCCGTGAATGCTCTACATGGAACGACTCGCAAATGCCGCCTGCATGTCCCGCTGTCGGCATTCGTGGGCCTGCCACGTCAGCTCTGAACTCTCTGGCCATGCTGAGGGCTGCGTCAGAAACAACACAAGGCGTCTGACCGCTGCTCCCGTTCGGCGCTTTTGCAAGCCCAGGGCTTTGCGCCGGTGGGAACAAACTATGGAGGGCCTGTCACCTTAAACTGCTCTGACTTGAACTGAAGACTTAAATTCTCAAAGAAGCGACCGGATACTTCAGGAACACATGGCCTTCAGCCTCTGGCTGCCGGCTCCATGCCACTCTCGGCATTTGCCTTAGCGAGTGTCAGTCCTGAACAGACCCGATGTCAAACCGGACAAGCTTGCTTTCTTGAAACGTGCTGCGTGCCTCTTGGCACGCTGACTCTTGGACCCCTTTCTGGGGCGGGTACATACTTCAAAGATTCTGCGATGACGTGCCAACAACGGCAGTCTGCCTTGCATGCCATCTGTCACTCCCAGCTCAGCAGCGCTTCGGTCACAGAATCCGCATCTGTTCCACCACATCGCGCAGGCGATCTTTGGTGTGATCGCCGGAGCGCCGTGCAGTGAACATCAGCAGCGATGCCAAGTTCATGTGCGTGTCATGGATGCTTCTCTGCAGCTTCCAGACCTGTTCGGGGCTCAGCGCCTTTTTGCTCAGAATGGCTTCGTCATCTTCCTGCAGTATTTCCTCCGACAGGATGGCATGCACAGTCTGCAGAGCCTCTGGCCCAAAATCCAGCAGCTTGCCATGCAAGAGCCTCCAATTCATTCTGATGAAATCAGACTTTGGCATGCTTTGCGTGAGAGCCCGGGCTTTCTTGGTAAGCTTTTGCTCACGTGGACGTTGATGAGGCAAATGGCAGAAGGTGCAATCTGGCCCGAGAGGACAATTACCGCCTTTGACAATGTGAACACACGGCCGAGAACACAACCGAGGATGGCCGATGCTGCCTTCACTGTGCTGCTCATCTGGTTGATGCTGCGAGATCTTCCCGCAGGCTTCCTTGACGTGCCCCTCAGCTGCCGCCAAACGCTCCTAAACCTACAAATGTTTCGATGTCGCCACCGCTTGCCAAGAAGACTTAACCCCTTCGCTTCTCCTGAAGATGCTGGAAAACGACCCTCGGCCTGCAGATTCTGAACGTGACACAGCTTGCTCGTAACTGGCATTCTGCTACTAGTAGGTGGAGATCTGTATTGAATCGTCTGAGCCCGCGGCATCTTGGCTGTGCGCACTGTGGCTCGCCACTTGCATGTTGGAGATGTTTTCGGCAAAGGGAGCGCAGGGCGCGAAGGACCAAGGAAGACTCCAAGATCGCCTCAAGGACGGTTGCACATCCTCTTCATCGATAAACTCAAGGAAAGTGAAACGCTGACGAATCTTCATCTTCTCGGTCTTGTCGAGAAGAACACATGGAAACCGATTCTCGACTTGAGCCGAGCATGGAAGCAGGCGGAACTTCGACCACGGCTCATCTGCTCCCCTGCGGGCACAAAGCGGCCTGGAGATGTGCCCAAAGCTCCTTTGCGAGGGCAGTTCGTGTGAGGCTTGGCAAGCTTTCAGGGCCTTTGCCCGTCGCCCTGCAACGGTGCTGATATTCCCTACAAGTAGCTCTCTTGTGCATCGAGCTCAGACGCAGGCCGTTGCGCAGAGGCTCAGAAGGAGAGATCACCCGCAACCATGCAGCACCCGCAGGTCAGCGGCCCAAGGCGTCCTCCTCTGCATGGCCGTGCTGGAGGCGCTGCTCCTCCAGGCTCGCCAGGGCCTCGGTCAAGCAAAAAAAACCGCATCCGAAAGGTCATGCGAAGCGGATCATAGCAGTCCCCGGCGCATTGCTTCAAACACAGGGAAACTGAGGAGATTGAGTGCGGTCTACTCGGCCTTGATACTTCGAGATCCCATCGTGTCTCATCTACTGAGAACACCGGCTGCCTCGACCGACGGCTTCGCTCCTGCAAGCAAGCCAAGCCACCTACCATGCGGAGCGATACTCCCGCCCTCATCGCACGTTCGGCGGTTGCGAGTCCTGACTGCAGGGCAGCCAGCTCGGCGAAGGCGCTCTGGACTTCGCCCTCAAGTTCTTGAGGTCAAGTCAACTCACAGCACCCGTGAATGCTCTACATGGAACGACTCGCAAATGCCGCCTGCATGTCCCGCTGTCGGCATTCGTGGGCCTGCCACGTCAGCTCTGAACTCTCTGGCCATGCTGAGGGCTGCGTCAGAAACAACACAAGGCGTCTGACCGCTGCTCCCGTTCGGCGCTTTTGCAAGCCCAGGGCTTTGCGCCGGTGGGAACAAACTATGGAGGGCCTGTCACCTTAAACTGCTCTGACTTGAACTGAAGACTTAAATTCTCAAAGAAGCGACCGGATACTTCAGGAACACATGGCCTTCAGCCTCTGGCTGCCGGCTCCATGCCACTCTCGGCATTTGCCTTAGCGAGTGTCAGTCCTGAACAGACCCGATGTCAAACCGGACAAGCTTGCTTTCTTGAAACGTGCTGCGTGCCTCTTGGCACGCTGACTCTTGGACCCCTTTCTGGGGCGGGTACATACTTCAAAGATTCTGCGATGACGTGCCAACAACGGCAGTCTGCCTTGCATGCCATCTGTCACTCCCAGCTCAGCAGCGCTTCGGTCACAGAATCCGCATCTGTTCCACCACATCGCGCAGGCGATCTTTGGTGTGATCGCCGGAGCGCCGTGCAGTGAACATCAGCAGCGATGCCAAGTTCATGTGCGTGTCATGGATGCTTCTCTGCAGCTTCCAGACCTGCCCGGGGCTCAGCGCCTTTTTGCTCAGAATGGCTTCGTCATCTTCCTGCAGCATTTCCTCCGACAGGATGGCATGCACAGTCTGCAGAGCCTCTGGCCCAAAATCCAGCAGCTTGCCATGCAAGAGCCTCCAATTCATTCTGATGAACTCAGACTTTGGCATGCTTTGCGTGAGAGCCCGGGCTTTCTTGGTAAGCTTTTGCTCACGTGGACGTTGATGAGGCAAATGGCAGAAGGTGCAATCTGGCCCGAGAGGACAATTACCGCCTAAACACACGGCCGAGAACGCAACCGAGGATGGCCGATGCTGCCTTCACTGTGCTGCTCATCTGGTTGATGCTGCGAGATCTTCCCGCAGGCTTCCTTGACGTGCGCCTCAGCTGCCGCCAAACGCTCCTAAACCCACAAATGTTTCGATGTCGCCACCGCTTGCCAAGAAGACTTAACCCCTTCGCTTCTCCTGAAGATGCTGGAAAACGACCCTCGGCCTGCAGATTCTGAACGTGACACAGCTTGCTCGTAACTGGCATTCTGCTACTAGTAGGTGGAGATCTGTATTGAATCGTCTGAGCCCGCGGCATCTTGGCTGTGCGCACTGTGGCTCGCCACTTGCATGTTGGAGATGTTTTCGGCAAAGGGAGCGCAGGGCGCGAAGGACCAAGGAAGACTCCAAGATCGCCTCAAGGACGGTTGCACATCCTCTTCATCGATAAACTCAAGGAAAGTGAAACGCTGACGAATCTTCATCTTCTCGGTCTTGTCGAGAAGAACACATGGAAACCGATTCTCGACTTGAGCCGAGCATGGAAGCAGGCGGAACTTCGACCACGGCTCATCTGCTCCCCTGCGGGCACAAAGCGGCCTGGAGATGTGCCCAAAGCTCCTTTGCGAGGGCAGTTCGTGTGAGGCTTGGCAAGCTTTCAGGGCCTTTGCCCGTCGCCCTGCAACGGTGCTGATATTCCCTACAAGTAGCTCTCGTGTGCATCGAGCTCAGACGCAGGCCGTTGCGCAGAGGCTCAGAAGGAGAGATCACCCGCAACCATGCAGCACCCGCAAGTCAGCGGCCCAAGGCGTCCTCCTCTGCATGGCCGTGCTGGAGGCGCTGCTCCTCCAGGCTCGCCAGGGCCTCGGTCAAGCAAAAAAAAGCCGCATCCGAAAGGTCATGCGAAGCGGATCATAGCAGTCCCCGGCGCATTGCTTCAAACACAGGGAAACTGAGGAGATTGAGTGCGGTCTACTCGGCCTTGATACTTCGAGATCCCATCGTGTCTCATCTACTGAGAACACCGGCTGCCTCGACCGACGGCTTCGCTCCTGCAAGCAAGCCAAGCCACCTCCCATGCGGAGCGATACTCCCGCCCTCATCGCACGTTCGGCGGTTGCGAGTCCTGACTGCAGGGCAGCCAGCTCGGCGAAGGCGCTCTGGACTTCGCCCTCAAGTTCTTGAGGTCAAGTCAACTCACAGCACCCGTGAATGCTCTACATGGAACGACTCGCAAATGCCGCCTGCATGTCCCGCTGTCGGCATTCGTGGACCTGCCACGTCAGCTCTGAAGTCTCCAAGGACACATGGAGACCGATTCTCGACTTGAGCCGAGCATGGAAGCAGGCAGAACTTCGACCACGGCTCATCTGCTCCCCTGCGGGCACAAAGCGGCCTGGAGATGTGCCCAAAGCTCCTTTGCGAGGGCAGTTCGTGTGAGGCTTGGCAAGCTTTCAGGGCCTTTGCCCGTCGCCCTGCAACGGTGCTGATATTCCCGACAAGTAGCTCTCTTGTGCATCGAGCTCAGACCCAGGCCGTTGCGCAAAGGCTCAGAAGGAGAGATCACCCGCAACCATGCAGCACCCGCAAGTCAGCGGCCCAAGGCGTCCTCCTCTGCATGGCCGTGCTGGAGGCGCTGCTCCTCCAGGCTCGCCAGGGCCTCGGTCAAGCAACAAAAAAAGCCGCATCAGAGCAAAGAGCAAGAGCTACCCAAAAAGGTAGAGGGTCGGGGGTCGGGGCCTAGGAAGTGGGCCCAGTGGGCCGAGGAGGGGCGTGCAATGCGGTACTATGCGGTACTCGTAGTCCGCGCTGTGCACTGTGTCACTTGCCACTTGGTGCCTAGGCACCTGCCCAAGCTCGGCGTGCATCTTAATGCTCTGGCGGCGTTGCCGCTGTGCCTCTCGGAGTATGTGCAGACCCAGAGCCAGACCGACATGATGCACGGCGGGGCAACCCAGGCACTGGCCTCGAAAGCGACGAGCTTCAATCTTGGAGCACAGGTTCACTTCCCAACACTCAGCAAAAGCAAAACCGCACAGCACTCGCACCGCGAGACGTTGTGAAAGCCGACCCCTTTTCAGCCGCCAGAGCCTGCTGCGGAACCAATCTTGATCGGCCTTTGGCGCAGACGTCGTGATGCCGCCCACCCTGTCTTGCAGCGTCTGCGTCGACCACGAGGGCCTGCATGATCTACCGTCGAGAGCTTCGCACAGATGCGCAAGGGCTCCGTCTGCTCATACGGTACGCAAGTTGTTCTTCGGTTTAGTCCATTACCCGCGTCAGCACATCACAAGGTGCTATTATCTGCAGCCTGTTGTTGGCTGCATGCCAGCAGCACCTCGTATTCCTTCTCGCCATAAACAGCCCAGTGGTAAGTGTTTCCAAGCCTCGACGCCTCGATGTCCAGATGGCTAAGTTCGGGGGATAGCAAAGTTGCAGCACCCTGCGTCAATCGGAGTTGGTCCGGAATGCACTTGCCGGAATCCCGCTGCCAGGAACTCTTGATGTTGGCAGCCACCGTTTCGAGCTCTTCAGGACGCACGGAGTGCACCACCATAGCACAGGGTGGAACTTCCGTTTTCTCACCGGGCAGATGCACGTGTGTCACCCTCGTTCGGTTGAGGGCAGCTTCGCTGGTGATAACCTCCGTTTCATAGTCAGCATAGCTTACAACATCTATGTGCCCCCACTTCCATATGCAACCCGCGAGGGACACGTCCTCCATACCTGTGCCGCCGGAATGCTGCAGCAGCTGTAGCAAACAAAACGGAGCCCACGTCGCGAGCTTTGGTAGCAATGCTCTTGATATCATATAACCGGCACCGCCAGATGCAAATCTCGTCATTGCACCCCTGGCACTGTGTGCGACCTGTGGCACACCCAGAAACCAGAAGTCAGACGGATCGAAGCAGCGCAGTCGTTGCTCGATCAGCGGCACGTTCAGGAAACTGTCTGCATCAGCTTTCATGTACCAGTCGCAGGCGTTTACCCACTCGGGCCTGCCAAGAGCCTCAAAAAGAAGGAATGTTCGGACAGGCAAGTGCGCATAATCTGTGTCAATATCACCTTCTAGCAGGAATGTTTGGCCGTCGAGCGAAACGGAGAGAGGCTGTTTGCTGACAAAGAAAGTATTGCTGGTCCCCCATACACGCCAGGCCGTTTCTGCTGCTTCAATGAAACGCGATTTTCGCGCGCTTGAAGGCACAAAGATGCAGAGGTGCCTTCGCTTTCTTGGGGGATCGGGCACTGGTGTGGCTAGGGCACCCTGCCCTGCACGAGGATCTAGGCCATGTAAGCGTTGTGACAAAGACTTCTCTAAGTGGACGAATTCAGGTGCCTTGCAGTAATACAAAGCCAAGCGAATTCGCTCCTCGTAATACTCTTTGGAATTCCCGTATGCATCGGAAATACTGAACTTGCCCATCTGGGATTCACCTATACACGGGATGCTCGTGTGCCACTTTGACCACGCCACCCGATCGTGAACGCGCAGAACTTGCTCCGTGGTGTCGAGCCTTCCAACGACTAGGAGACACTGCTTCAGCGTATCTGGATGATTCTGAAACTTAGACATGGTATGATTGGGCCGGTCAAATAAAAGAAAGCTCCCCTCCATGTCGGCGTAGTTGCTAGCCACAAGACGCCCCAAGTCACTAAGACACATGGAAAAGGTGTAGTCATCGAAGAAGCTGTCAGAACCATAAGGCGTGTCTGTCGTCTCCGCGTACCTCATACAGTAGTCCGTCCAAGCAGCCACATGCCCCAAGAGTCCTCGGCTAATGATTGTGCCACCCCAGGGATTCGGGAACATGAAAGGCTCTTCGCCGGGGCTGTACGCGACTGTGGGCACGCCGAGAAAAAAGGACTCCGATGCATTGAAGCAGTCGAGGCGACTTTTGAGCGTTGGCGTGTTCACGTAGCTCCAGACCGGTACTTTCATGACCCAGTCACACTTGCCTGTGCCGCCACCCTCTTCTAACAAGGACACGATGTGGCGCCAGAAGTGCAGCGCCCTCAAGGAACGGCCCCGGCCTGTGAGGTCTGCTGTGAGCCTTGTGGTTGGCAAGCCCTGGAGCTTCTCCAGAAATCCTGGAGCTTCCGCACCCTGCTCAGGAAGCACGAAGGTGGTGTTTGTCAGCCAAGTCTTTTGCGCAGCCTGGGCCATTTGCCCAAAGTGGTCCAGCTCTTCCAGAGACGCCTCCGGGCCGAGCAAGGCAGGGATGAAGATGCAAAGCCCTCCGGAAGTCGCCAGCTGAAATACATCCGCTGCCATGCTTCGATGAACAAAAATGCTACTCTGCTACACCTCAGATCATCTGACTAGGAGGCTTGACGTGCTGTCTGAAGCACCTCTTCTGTTTCTGTGCATTGCGATTTGCCTATCCGACCCTTTGGTTTCCTTGGCCTTGGCTACGGCTACGGCCTGCCCTGTGGAGCCGGGACTATCAAACAGCACAATCGCTTCGACTTGTCCGACCTTATCCGACTTCTTTCTGAAAGCCAACGGCATTGCTTATCCTGCAAAGTCGGGCTTGGGGTTGGTGTCTTGAGGTAGCCCTGAAGTGTGGCTTTGAAGCCTTTGCAGCGCTTGGCAGGTTTGGGAAGGCTCGGAGGTCGGGGTGACAAACTGGTGACAAGGATCCCAGGGCTCAGAAGCGACAGCTGGTGCAACAAGAGCAGCTGCTCCAGAAACACCCTGGACAATGGCTAAAAGACTTACTTAGTGTTGCGGTGTCTCTCATAATCAGTGGCACGAGGCCCCAACTCATCCTGCAGGACGGACATCGCATCGGAATGTTCCTCCGGGATTCTGACAGTAATGATCACTGTAGTCCCCAACTCAAGCTGATCCCAGCAGGCATGGAGGCACGAGAGCTGCCACATCGGAAGTAGAACTGGAGCACTGAGCTACTTTCTATCGATGTCTCGTTGCCTCTGTCTCTGCCGGAACGGCGAGGAGCGAGTGCTCGACGTCAAAGGAGCTGGCCATGGCCCTGGACGCATCAGTGCAAAAGTTCCTCAAAGTTTCTCGAAAATTCCTAAGTTGAGGTGGTGACTAGTACTGGTCTAGTAATAGTAGTAGTAGTAGTAGTAGTAGTAGTAGTAGTAGTAGTAGTAGTAGTAGTAGTAGTAGTAGTAGTAGTAGTAGTAGTAGTAGTACTGATACCGGAACTAGTAGACGAACCAGTAGTAGTACGTAGCAGCAGCAGCAGCAGTAGTAGCAGCAGCAGCAGCAGTAGTAGTGGTGGTGGTAGTGGTAGTGGTCGTAGTAGGGTAGTTGCAGTAGTAGCAGCAGTAGTTGCAACAGCAGTAGTAGTAGTAGTAGTAGTAGTAGTAGTCGTCGTCGTGGTGGTGGTGGTAGTGACTTTACATAGCTGCTCAATGATCATGATCATGATGGTGATGGTGTTGATGCCTTTGGTCCAAGCGACAGTTATGGATGATGACAAGTTGAATGACAAGTATTAGTGATCAACCTTCAGGCTCCAACCATGCCAGACCCACGGATTTGTCGACAGAGTCTCACCAGCTGCGGAGCCTGCATGTCAACATGCCACCTGGAGTCTGCCCTGCCATCCTGCCTAACGACATGGTTGAAGCTTCCAAGCCTGATGCACAGCGCTCGCACGAGCCATCTGCCAGCAAGCATAGGGGCAACATCTTGTGCTGCAAAATGCTCCCAGAGTCACAACGAATATGAACCTGCCTTGCGTCCCCGCGTTTGCATGTGGCCGCGGCCGAACATCGCGCGGTTTCCTGACTCGGGGCAGTGTTAAGGCCTTGTCGGACCCGCACCGGCAAGGCAAGACTGCGGCCCTTGGTAGATCGCAGGCACCGGCGAAGCTGGAGCCTTCGCATGAGGCTTTACGACAAGAAGAAGAACGACAACAACAACAGCAGCAGCAGCAGCGGCGGCAAAGGCGCCATTGACTAGCAAAAAAGTAATCTCACGCACAGGCCACCTTGCTTTTTGCCGCTCTGGGAAGCGCAGGAGGCACACCTACCTGCTTTGGCAGGGGTGGTAAAGGCCTTGTAGCAGAAACTGTAACCTGACCGTCCTTTTGAGGACTCAGGACAAAACTTTCCCCCACACCCAGAGCCAGTCTTGTCAGGAGCTCGCTCCCCAGGATGCCACTGGTGCGTGCAGGGAACATAACCTACTCGAACTTTTGAAACCTGTAGGTACAAGGGGTGGAAAATCATGTCGCAAACCAGCGATGTGCCATGAATGCCCAAGCCCTGTACAGTACTGGGCCAACCGCTTAAGATGCAGCTGCGCTGCAGCATAGAGATTACAGGATGATCTGAACGTCAGCAAAATGCCCAACTTGAGGAGCCTAGATCACGAAGCCACCAGCTGATGCATCTCTTCTCGGCTTCAACTATGCTGCCACATCTGGGTCGTCGGCCAGGCATGCAAGTTAATTGCTGAGCTGGCATTGAGAAGAGAATGCCGCCCTCCTCTCGAACCCAAATTACAACCGTCCTGAGTTCATCACCCGCTTGATCTACTTCGATTTCCAGTCGGCACACACGTGCCTGTCACCCCACAGAATCAGAAGGATCGCTGCACCAGTTAAGCATCAGCGCACCTGGAAGACTCTTCACAAAATATTAAAACCAAAAGACAGCCTTCCTGATGATCACAGCCTACTCTGGCGTGCAAAGGCCTGAAGGCGGATGAAAGTAATGGAACCTGCTGCCCTCATCAGGAAAGCACAGGACTTGTCCAGCCGGCTCGGCCTGACTTCGCCGAAGGTCTTGACAACCTCTAAAATCAAAGTCTTAACGTCTTCCTCAAAGCACTTCCCGGCACACCTCAGGCGCGATCAGTCTGTGACCTGTCGTGCAATTTCAGCTCGCAGAACTGGTGCTTGCAGGACCCATGAAACCCATCTGTGCCCCGGCCTGTTAGATCACAGTGACACCACGCTGTGGCAACACGGGGAGTACAGCTTGAAGGCTTCGTCCTTGTCACTGCCTCTGCAACTTGAGGCAAAGCGTGCTTCAAATCAATCCAAGCGTGCGGGATCTCAGGGCTTGCATATTCGCATGTTGAACTGACTAAAGTTGCTCCGGATTTAGTGGGCCCCCTTCCCCAACCAGTTCCCCGCGGCCTGATTGTGTGGTTCGGGGAACCGTCGTGCATCCAATGTTGTCGTTCCGGGGAACGGTGGCGCGTCCCAGGGATGTGGAGCAAAGTAGACTAAAGAGAACATAAGCTCTTTAGAGTGTAGAGGGATGTGGGAGTGGTGCCTGCTGTCCGTGGGAGATGGGCTCTTCAGAAGGCTGTGTACCGTCGTTGTGCAGGGGTACAACTAACTTTGGTGTGATATAGTAGTAGTCGTCGTCGTAGCACAGTAAGGAGGATTTGGGAGTCGCTTGAAATCTCGCCAAAACAGATCCTGGTGATTTATTGGCGCTTAGCAGAGGACGCCCTCTAATTTGCCAACTAAGCCCCAGAAGAGGGAGAAAACAAACCGCGTCATGGAGGGTCACCTAGTTTCTCCAGTGCAACATTACAGGCGGCCTCCAGCAAAAATACCTTTGAACTCGTTGAAATCCAAAACCTGAGCCGTTGCTAAGCAGGTCCACTTCTGGCGAACGTCGGGAGGCTTGTCCCCTACGACTTGATGATTCATTGATTGATTGACTGCCTGTGGGTACAAGCACCCTTGCATTTGCAAGGCAACAGACTTGATGAAAGCCATGGAGCACCGTCACCGTTCGTGTCAAAGTCGGAGAAGAAGCTGGCAACCTCCTCGGGCGTCTGTGCAAGCACCTGCGAGTTCAGACTCCCTTGCACCCAGTCATGCAAGATCTAACTTTCTGCAGGATCTGCAAAAGCCATGGTGGGAGAGATGCGAAAGGAGTTTGACAGAAAAAACACATCTGAATGGCGTCAGGAGTTTCCTCGTGGAGCTCTTTTGAGAGCCTGGCCGGCCTGGCCTGCCCCAGCTCGCCCTGGCAGATATAGCCATCGCCTCGGGACTCGGGCACCCAGCATCTGGGAAACTACCCAAGGTCCCTGTTCGTTCCTGTTCGTGTTTTTTTAGCTGAGAGAGCTTCGTCGTGCTTCGAGGAATGAGCCAAATCCTTTCGGAGCGACATTGGGGATTGCTCGGTGGAACTGGGCAGGAGTGTTGGGGCTGCATGGCAATGATGGTTCATTCTGGTTTCCTGTAGGTTGCTACAAGCAAACCATCTGACATCTTCATGACTGGGTAATCCGCCATCTGTGTCGAAGATGCGGAAGGCGGCTCGCACAGCCTCCTGGAGGTGCGGCAGGGGTACAGTGAGGTGTGCCTGAAAGTCATCTGCCGACCCCGGGGGCTGTGGAGGCCCTCGTAACCCCGCCGAACCACTGTCTCGCCCAGTCCGTTCACGCACCTCCCCTACAAGGAAAAGAACCATGCCGCATGCCGAATGAATGTTGGGGAATCGAAGTGCCCAGCAACCAGTGCCTGCCGCTGTGCAGCCCAACTCATCCGACAAGGCTTCCGCAAGTGCCAAATCTCCCTCATGCAGGTCTGCGCCATCTAGGGCTCCTCCGAGACACACTGACCTTGCTGCAGTACGGCTGCCAACCATTCCTTAATCATGACATGTCTGTGGCATCTACCTGCCAGGTTCGAATAGAACTTCCTGCAATGCGACAACTGTGAGGGCTCCCGACCTCGCCTAAAAGCAAAGCAACGCAATCGGGCAGCGGTGTATTCGATGTGTCGATCACCTTCAAGAAACACCTCGGCTGAGCTGACAATTTCAGAAGTCTGGTGTGGAAGCTCAAACCAGTACGACGTCAGGGAATGGCCCACCAACTGATCTGACAACTACATCCGGCTTCCACAGCCTCGTTTATAGGCAAGAGGCAGAGTCGAATATCGTCTCGACCCAGCTTCGCACGTCTTCGGCCGCGCCACCTTCCAGGGCCGACGGAGAGAGGAGGGAAGAGAGCTGGTGAGGGGAAGGGGGGAGAGAGACAAAGAGAGAGAGGGAGAGCTCGCTCGCTCGCTCGAGAGAGAGAGAGAGAGGGGGAGGGAGAGGGAGAGAGGGAGAGAGGAAGAGAGAGAGAGAGAGCGAGGGAGGGAGAAGGCATGCCGAAGCTTTCTGGAAGTGCCTGGAGATGAAAGAGCGATGGACATTGTCAAATCCTCTTTCGAGATCCGGCCATCCCCTGAGCAGTGCCAGGTTCTCGCGGCTGGTTCTGCTCATGCCAGATCCGGCGATGAATCTGCGTGCGCTTCAGAAGCCCTGAAGCTAGTTCTGCAACGAGTCGAGTGACCGTTTGCGTCGACCAACAAGAATTGCTCCCGAAGGTCCTCGAGAGGGCTCCAGCTTCAGAAGGGACTGAAGCACAATCAGGGCATTCGTTCTCAGGGCCCCACACGCAGCTGCCAGCTCGTGAGCTGTGTGGCTAAAGCTGCCAGCGCAGCGCGCCGCAGTTTGGCACTGCGGTGGAAGGCCACAAAGGATGTCTCGGTGAAACAACATGAAACAACGCTGCGCGTACCCTTGCCAGTCTTTTTGCGCTTGTGCAGGCAAGGCACTAGTGTTGGTGTCAAGTCCTGCTGTTGCAGGCACGACGCCAAGGAACGGACCTGCAACCCTGACCGCGCTGCGCCTTGGGCGTTCGCGACTCCAGGCCCTGTGTCCATGGGTGTGCCAGCGCTGCTGCTGCCTGGAGCCGTTGCGAGGGATCCAGGACCAGGAGGCCTGAGCTGGCGCGCGACGTGCGCCGGTGCATGCGCAAGACTGACTGGCAGATCTCTCTGTGCTACCGCTACCCTCTGTCGCCTGCTTTCACTCTGACGGAGAGATTAGAAGCCAGGCAAGCGGCCTTTCAACAAGTCTCGAGCTGAGGAAGACAAGGACTTGTAGCCCGAAGTCTCGAAATCCAACTCCTTCCGGTCCCAGGAAAGGGAGTCTAGTCTCAAGCTGCAAAAGGAATTGCCGCGGCGTCCTTTGTGTTCTCATCCCACTTCGGCAGGCTGCCGCACAGCATAGCATGTAGCACCTGCTGTGCACCATAGCCCACAGCTCGAAGGCCCTGCTACGGAGCTTCTGCAAGCCAAAGCAAAACGTCCGAGACGCCATACCGGCGCTCCAGACATCGGAAGCCGGGAGGTTGCTGATTTGCCCTGCCTTGCGGACTTGCGGACATGTACTCAAGCACTAGCGAATACTAGATAGTAGCGGTCCCCCAGAGTTTGCCCACCTCTGGTGCCAAGTAGTCCGCAGAGCCGATCACTGAGCCGGAGCGGCCCAGGACCTCGTGGCTGGTGATCATCGCCAATCCAAAGTCGATGAGCTTCACCTGAGCTGCGGCTCAAAAGCCGACGTGTCGTCAGTGCCGTGGTCCGATGCCTCCGGGGGCATCAGCGCCGGAGACACAGGAGGCATCTGGCAGCTGTGATGTTGCACCATGATGTTGTCCTTACCGAGCAACATGGACCCACTCAGTTCTTCGCTCACCCACTCAGCATAAGAGAGGAGGCACTGGAAAATTCAAGATAGGACTATCAGGAGGCTTCAACTTTTCGAAGTACGAAGATCGCGAGGCACTGCAGTGTTCGATGTCCAACCAACCGGCTTGGATTAACGGCCACCTGAGGTGAGCTGTTACCAATCTATCATGGTTTCTTTACCTGCGGTGCATATGGCAGTCCAGGAACACTACAGTGCTTCGAGGTTCGTTCACATGTTGCTTCCGAAAGCCAGCCAGCCCAAAACGATCGAAATACACACCGACTTTGCTTTAGAAATCAATCCTGTGGGCAGCATGCAACCGTAACAGGGGCAAACAAAGGTGGCGTCAGTCAAGTTTCTGGTTTCAAATCTCGATGAAGC